GACATAATAGTCCTTAATGTGTATGTGCCTAATAGCAGAGTATTCTAATACATGAGGCAAAAATTGATAAAAGGGCAAGGAGAAATAGATGAGCACAATATTATAGTTGGGAAGTTTACTACTCTGTCAAATTGGACAGATCTACCGCACAGAATCAGTAAGAACGAAGTTGAACTGTATAGCATCTTCAATCAACTGTATCTAATTTACACGTATAGAATACTTCCTCCAGCAATAGCAGATTGCACATTCTTCTCAAGCTCACATGGAACATTCGCCTAGATAGACCATATTTTGGGCCGTAAAACACATCTCAACGACTTAAAAGTATAGAAATAATACAAGGTCTGCTCTCAGACATCAGCAGAATTAAACTACAAATCAATAACAGAAATATAACTTGAAAATATCCAAATACTTGGAGGCTCAACAGCAGTCTTCTAAATAACACATGGATCAAAGTAAAGAGAAATTGAAAAGCATTTTGAACTAAATGAAATTGAAAATACAACAACATAATTTATGAGATGCAGCAAAAACAGTGTTTAGAGAAAATTTATATTAGAAAAGAAGGAAGATCTAAAATTAATCATCTAAGCTTCTACCTTGGGAAACTAGAAAAAGAAGAGCAAATTAAATCCAAAGTAAGGAGAAGAGAAGAAAAATAAAAATTTAGATCAGAAATCAATGAAATCAAAAATAGAAAATCAGTAGAGAAAATCAGCAATGAAAACCTGCTTCTTTGAAAAGATCAGTAAAATCTATAAGCCTTTAGCTAGACTAATTAAGAAGAAAAGAGAGAAGGAACATATTACCAATACCAATAATGAAAGAGGGGATATCACTATATATGGACATTAAAAGGATGATATGGGAATGCTACATATAATTCCATACCCCAAAATTTGGTAACCTAGATGAAATGGACCAATTCTTTAAAGACACAATTTGCCAAAATTCACAGAAGAAATATACAATCTGAATAGGCCTACATTTTAAAGAAATTGAACCAATAACATTTTATAATATTGTGATTTGTAAGAAATATATATTTGGTCATTCAGATGACCCAATTTCCCAAGTGTTGAGAGCCATAAATGTGTCTTTTGTTGTGCTAATAAGATGACTTTTAGAAAGCACCTAAGATGGGGTCTGATTGCTGGCTGGAGCCAACCTGTGTTTGGAGGGTTGGAACTTTTAGTCCTACCCCTTGACCTTCAGGAGGGGAGAGGGGCTGGAGGTTGAAAGATTTGTCAATGGCAGTGATTTAATCAACGATGCCTGTATAATGAAGCCTCCAGGAAAACACGAAAGGGTTCAGAGGGCTCCCCAGTTGATGAACATGTGGCCGCCTCTGAGAGGACAGAATCTCCTTGCCCTTTCCCACATCCCTTGCCTTATGCATCTCTTCTATCTAGCTGTTCCTGAGTTAATATCCTCTTTTAATAAACCAGGAATCCAGTAAAATATTTCTCTGAGTTCTTGAGCCTTTCTAGCATATTAAAAGACTTGAACAGACCCTTCACTGAAGAAGATAGATGGCCTGTAAGTATATGGAAAGATGTCCGACATAGGGAATTGCAAATTAAAACAACAGTGAGTTACTATTGCATCCCTATTAGAATGGCCTATCCAGAACACTGACGACATGAAAGGCTGGTGAGGATGGGAAACAGCAGGAACTCTCATTTATTTCTGGTGGGAATGCAAATGGTACTGCCACTTTGGAAGACAGTTTGATCATTTCTTATAAAATAAACATACTCCTACCAGGATCCAGCAATCACCTCCTTTTGCACTCCTTGTTATTTACCTAAATGAATTGAAAACTTGGTTTACACAAAAACCTGTGCATGGATGTTTATAGCAGCTTTTTCATAACTGTTAAAACTTGAAAACAACCAAGATGTCCTTCAGTAGGTGAATGGATACATGAACAGTGGTACATCCAGCAAAAGGGATGTTTTTCATTGCTAAAAAGAGATGAGCTATCAGGCCATGAAAATACATAGAGGAAACTTAAATGTGTATTACTGACTTAAGCCATTTGAAAAGGTTACATACTGTATAATTACAATGATATGACATTCTGGAAAAGGCAAAACTATGGAGAGTGTAACAATATCAGTGGTTGCCAGGGGTTTTTGAGAGAGGGAGAGATCAATAGGCGGAACACAGAGGATTTTTAGAGCATTGTGCCTATTCTATACAATCCAAAATGGTGGATACATGTCCTACATTTGTCAAAACCCATGGAATGAATAACACTAAGAGTGAACCCTAATGCAAACTATGGACTCTGGGTGATGATGATGGGTCAGTGTAGGTTCATCATTGTAACAAATGTGCTAGTCTGATGGGAGGTTTTGATAGTGGGGGAGGTTGTGTGTAACTGAGGAATGGGGAGTGAATGGGAACTCTCTGTAATTTCCACCAGTTTTGCTGTGGAACTAACACTGCTCTAAAAACAGTTTATTAAGTTTAAAAAAGATAAAAAAGCAGAAAGTGAAAATTTTAAAAAGACTCCATTTACCTGTTTGTTTAAATCTTTCATGTTTCTTTTCCAGATATAAACCCAAAATTTGCTTAAACATAAATCAGAAACCATTTTTACTTACACACAAACATTATTCATAGTAATCATAGACCCCAAAGAGAAACTACAAAAGCCTATTTGACTCATCCTATAGTTGAAATAATATATATTTTCAGTGAAAAGTAATGTAACATTACTAGTTTAAAAAAATATGTATTTTTTTTTTTTAAATTCGTCAGGAATGCTAGTGCTTGAGGAAATGCAGGTGCCAGGGGAGGAGGAAAGAAGATTTTTATAGTTAAGCACTCAAACACTGAAGCACGGTTCGGTTATCATGGAATTTTTCACTTCAAATAACTTTTTACTTAAAAAAAAAAAAAAAACCACTAGTTCCAGTCAGATAAGGGGATTTAATGGGATGACGATAGATTTGAGGAAGAAAGGAAAGAGATCTTTTCTAGAAGGTGGAAAAATGAAATATAAAAGATATAAAGAAGAAAGTAACTTTATAAATAAATTGGAGATAATGAAACTCACTAGAATTTACTAATTGCTGAGCATTAAAATAAAGGATAAATGTAGTGTTATGGTCAATACATGATTCCACTGGTACTGAAAAGGAAGCAGATGATACAGAGACAGTGCTTTCTTTTTCTTTTTTCTTTTTTTTTTTTTTTGAGAGAATGAGATAGAGCACGAGAGGGGGGCAGGTCAGAGGGAGAAGCAGACTCCCCACCCAGCAGGGAGCCCGATGCGGGACTCGATCCCAAGGACTCCAGGATCATGACCTGAACCGAAGACAGTCGCCCAACCAACTGAGCCACCCAGGCGAGACAGTGCTTTATTTTTCAATGACAGTACTAAGACTCCTTGGTTCAGAGCAGCTGGTTTTAAACCGCTAGGTGGCAGAGTAGAGAGAGAAGAGGCAGGTTGAAGTGGACGGTTCCTGGGGATACATTGAACAGTTACCTATTAGACTTGTGTCATGGGTCAGATGTATATATATATTTATGTGTTAATGTTTCATTTGTGTGATATTTCACATGTTGTGTTAAAGCAATAACATTTTGCTCCTAAAATAATATAAAACTTTTGAACAGCATAAACAAAATGCTGATTAAAAATTGACTTGGTATGTTAGTGTGACCCAAATTTATTATATCTGCTAGGTATTTACTTAATTTTTCAAAAATAATTTAAGGTTATAATTGCTGTTTATGCCTTTTCCTTATTTTAATCAGATATGAAGTTGACAGTGAAAAATTGGTATTTGCATGGTATAACTGTGGTATAAGTGAAGATTGTCTCATGTTAAGAGTCCTCATTTTTAGACCAATTTTTTTGACCATATTAGAAAAGATATCGAATAATGGTCTAGATTCTGCCTTGAAAAAGTTTTTTTTTGGTCAATTAATCTATTCTTGAATGCCACTGAAGAGGTAACTATATAGGGTAATACTCAGAATAGATTTTTTGTTTTTGTTTTTGCCTTAGTGTTTTCCCTGTATCTGGGTTTTCAATATGATCATAGATTTATAAACAGCCTCACTCTTGGCTTCCTTTTTTCCATCATCCTAGAAGAATTGAGCTTACACATAGATTCACAGAATCCCTTGAACTGAGAGAAATGGTAGGGAAAACCTCTTTCAGAGGGTTTCTTTTAGATGGAAGGAACAGAGACCCGAGGTTGGACCCCCCACTCCAGCTCACACTCTATGCTGGCTTGGAGCTGGGTCTCCATCCCTGCTGGCTGAGTCCCAGCCGGACTGATTCTGCATCTCCAGGGCTGTTTGCTCCACCATCCTCCGCTGCCACATCAACATTTGTAACCAGTAGTTTCCAGCTTCCTTCTGGCCCATCTTTAAAATGAACAATATTGTTAATGCAGCTTGTATACCTGCCCTGTGTGTCACAAATAGTTGGTGTGAAGATACTGAGTCACTATAAAAACAATGACGTTCCCTGGCAGAGGCCACAGTCTTCCCAGTATTGGCTCACGGTGTTTTACGCTTGAATTTGCTGCCTTGAATTGAACTGCCTGTATTGAAAAATTGGTAGATTTTATGCAAAAATCTAGATGCTTCCATTTCTTTGGAAAGTTTCATTAATCTGGCAAAGGGAAGGGACTTCTCCAGTGGCACTGAAGCCCTTTAGATAGAATATGCACCTTCTATTTCACTGTGGCCCCCATCACTCCTCTGGGATTCCCAGTCCTCGGCCAAGTGTTATTTGTTATTGATCATCTTCTAATCTCTTGCTTTTCACATTTGAGTTACCTGCCTTGATGTCTCTAGACATTTGGGGATTTCAACTCTTATTCTCTGAAAGTATACATTGAGATTAATAGTCCTAGTAAAAATTTTTTTCAGGGCATAAAAATAAGGATTGATGAAGATAGCTACAAAATAATTAAGTTTATTGAATAATGAAAATGACTGATATTTCTCCAAATTTGGTTTTCAAGGCAAACATGTCCCAGGTCAGGCAAGTGGGCTTGCTGGCTGCCGGATGTCAGCCATGGAACAAAGATGTATGTGCTGCCAGTGGAGACAGGTTTGCATACTGTGCCACCCTGGCCATCTATATTTACCAGGTAAAATATTATGGATGCTTTTTGATTTCTAATTTTATTAGGTAAAATTAATATTTAATATATATTTTAAAATCCCTGTTATAGAAAAGGCTTAAGTACTGTAATTTAATTGATACTTATATTTTGTTGCTGTTTATACTATATTGGTTTTAACAATTCAAGCTTTTCAAAAATGCTTATATCATAGTTTCAGATTATTAGAAAAATCTTAATTGATTTCATAAACCTTTATGTGCTGTTCATCAAAAAGAATTTCTTCAAGAATTAAAAGCTTCCGGTCTGTGAGTGGTGAGCAGTTCGAATCTAATGCTTTTAAAATATATTTCCGTATAAATAATTGGAATTCATTTATTCATTTGTTTCAGACCTTGCTCAGTAGCATTTCATATGAGAAAATCATCAGTTGAAGAATGTGGGTCATCCATTAGAGATCATTATATTAAAAACAGTACAGATAGAAAATACTTTGAGATATTCTTGAGATACAAACCTTTACAACTCCTTTTTTTTTCATGTCTGAATTCCATCCAGACATCTCCCGTCAGTTCCCCATCTATAGAGCTAATGGCCTTCTGAATTGCCCCAGTTACAAGTGCCATAAGCATCTTAAGTGCAGGTCCATCTTTCTCCTCAAACCTGGAGTCAGCATTTCAGTGTGAGCAGCTAACCACTTACCTGAACCCCAGACGTGAGGGTTAGCTCTCTTTGGCTCCTCCTTCTCACCTCCTCTCCTGGAGGTGACCAGGAGCAGTCCTAGCATTTTGTACATTTATAGCCTTCCCACCTAAACTATTATAATAGTCTCTTACTATCTTCTTCACCTCGACTTTGACTCCCTCTAATTTATACGTCAGTGTAGTCAGTCACCTGTAATGTAAAGCTGCAGGTTTCAGTCTTCGGCTGCTCCTCATTCCTCCGTATTAACACCCAGACTTCATGGTGTGACATTGTTTCGCAGTGTCTTTCTCCACCCCTCTCACCTTGTGCCCCGCGCAGACCATGCTAATTGTATTTTCCAAAACATCTCAGACTCTTTTATATCTTGTCTTTGCTTACCCTAAGTTTCCCATTTGCCCGTGTTGCCTGTTTAGAGAGTGTTTTCTCATCTTTCAAATCTCAGCTCAAGTGTATAAATTCTTTTCCATATCCTGCTTTTTCCTCTTTCCCATTAGCAAAGCACCTTAGAAAACGGACTGCCTCTCTGCCTGCTTCCGTTTACCAGAATCGGTCTTCCTCACCTTTGATTTCTCAAGTTACTCTGTACTCTCTGGAATTTGAAGGATACTCGTTAAATATTTTTTGAATGATATATTTTTTGTTGTTTTGAAACACCAATTCATTTCAGTTAATAGTGAAAAAAATGATTGCATTATTCTGGAATAAAAATCCTTTTAATTACCAATAGTGTAGTTTATTGAAAATTTAAAGAAATAATAGCATTAATCTATAAACCCATTAATTTTACACAGTTTCAAGTTAGACTTTATGTAGTCCATTACTCAAGATTATAGAAACACCCAGCAATCAACCTGAGTTTCAGTATAAGTCACATTTTTTCACTTCCCATTGCCCCAGGGAGAAGACAGCAGCAAGCCTGCTAATTGCTCCCTTTTTCCTCCCAATCTGCCTCCTTTACACTTTGCCTGTCCCCATAAGCTTCTCACTCTCAAAGGTCTCCTACAAAATTTCTCCCTTAGTCTTAAGTCCCTAACTTCTTGTCTTAACTTCCTTTTAGAGAAGAAGAATGTATCAGTCTAGGTAAACTCTTCCTCCAAGGAGTAAGGACGTCAGAGAATGGATGAAGGCAGCACTTAATTTTTTTTATGTTCACATGTGTCTTAAGTTTTATGATGACATTTTATGACTTGAATATTTAGGAAGATTGAGCTAAAATTATTAATATAAAAAACCTATGAAGAAAATTTATGTGTCATTAAAGACTGAAATTAAAAATCACCCTGATTTAGAAATTAAAACAAATAAACTCAGGTGACAGTTCATTACAGAGTTCACTGTAAAACCTTGTTTCAAAGTATGCAAATGGAAAATTACATTTATATTAAATGGTGACATTAACATTCAACTTACATTAATCAGTATTTTTTAAATGTCATTGTCTCAATTGAAGTGCTTTGAAAATTATGCTACATAAATATAAAATGTTATAGTTATTTCCAAAGGGAATAGTTATTAAATCATACCTAGGGTTAATGTACAGTCAGAGTCTTAATAGTCTGTCACAGTCTGTATAATGATGCCGAGGTATTATCACATCTGTCTGAACTATTAAATGATATTTGTAAATGTGGTAAGAACTTTTCCTTTGACCATTGAATTGTAATGCAATAATATATTGTATTAACTACTCTAAAAATGATTTATGGTCCAACTTAATGTAATAGTACAGACTCATAATACTGAATTGTAAATATAATAGGAATGTGTTAATAAATTAATCCCTGTAAGTATTCTATATTGTGCTTAAGATACTACTTGGATGATTTGTATAGTAAAGCCAGTGAAGATCATTGATATGCAACATAGCTTCTTCATGTATTTATTGTATTTATAGACTCTTCCACTGAATTTCTAACTTATATAGAAGTTTTTTCTGTTAGATACATTAGACACACTCACAGTATTTACCATAGATAAATCACTGAATAACTTAAAACTTACAAATCTATTCCTAAATGTACAGAAAATGTACTTATATATTTAAACAGGCCAACTTAAGATTATTATAACTGCAATACTAATCAGATGAAAACTCCACTGGTACTTGGTTATCTCTAGTAATATTTTCATCTGAAGTTGTTCAGGAATAGCTAAAAGTTCAAGTAGTAAGAGATATAGAAATTATAGAAGGGAAAACCTTAGGAAATAATTAGGTCATTTGTCAAAATTTTATATAAAGATGTTCGCTACAGCATTTTTTGTGATAGCAGAAGTTAAAAGTTGCTTAAATGGTAAACAATAGCATAATGGCTCATTTTTTTTTCAATAATATTAACTGAATCTCTTCTGTTGGCCAAGTATCACTAGGCACTAGGAATGAAACTATGAACAAAGCAGGCAAATTCTTCTCATTGAATTCATATTCTTAGTAAGGACAGGGGGCAGGGAGAGGTCATTAAACAAACAAACAAACAAATAAATGTTTCAGGAAGAAATGTGTTCTACAAAGGATATAAAAACAGGTAATATGTTAGAGTCATTTACACCAAAAACAAAAGCAACAAAAACAGGTGGGACTACATCAAACTAAAAACCTTCTGCACAGCAAAGGAAACCATCAATAAAATGCAAAGGCAGCCCACTGAATGGGAGAAAATATTTGCATATCATATATCTGATAAGGGGTTAATATCCAAAACATATAAAGATCTCATATGATACAATACCAAATTTAAGCAAATGATCTGATTAAAAAATAGGCAGAGGATCGGAATAGACGTTTTTCTAAAGAATATTTACAGATGGCCAACAGACACATGAAAAGAAATCTCAGCATCACTCATCACCGGGGAAACGCAAATCAAAACCACACTGAAATATCACCTCATACGTATTAGGATGGCTATTTTCTTTTCTTTTCTTTTTTTTTTTTAAAGATTTTATTTCAGAGAGAGAGAGAAAGAGAGAGAGAAAGCACGAGAGGGAAGAGGGTCAGAGGGAGAAGCAGACTCCCTGCTGAGCAGGAAGCCCGATGTGGGACTCGATCCCGGGACTCCAGGATCATGACCTGAGCCGAAGGCAGTCGCTTAACCAACTGAGCCACCCAGGCTCAGGATGGCTATTTTCAAAAAGACAAGGAATAACAAATGTCGGGGAGGATGTGGAGAAAAGGGAACCCTTGTGCACTGTTGATGGGAATGTATATTGGTGCAACCACTGTGGAAAACTCTGTGGAGGTTTCTCAAAAAATTAAAAACAGAACGACCATATGATCTTGCAATTCTACTTTTGAGTGTTTATGTGAAGGAAATGAAAGAACTAATTTGAAAGGATACATCCCATTTTCGCTGCAGCATAACCGAGACATGGAAGCAACCCCAGTGTCCATTGATGGAGGAACGGATAAACGGATAAAGAAAATGTGGTCTATATATGCATACAATGGAATACTATTTAGCCATAAAAAGAAGGAAACTTTGCTACAACATGGATGGATCTTGAGGGCATTATGCTAAGTGAAATATATCAGAGAAAAACAAATACTGTATGATCTCACTTATATGTGGAATCTAAAACAAAACAAAACTGAATTCATAGATTCAGAGAATAGATTGGTGGTTGCCAGAGGTGGGGGTACGGGGGGGGAAATGGGTAAAGGGAGTCAAAAGCTACAAACCTCCAGTTACAAACTAAATGAGTCATGAGGATGCAATGTACAGCATGTTGAATGTAGTTAATAACACTGTATTGTATATTTGAAAGTTGCTCAGTGAGTAGATCTTAAAATCTACCACAAGAAAAAAAATTATAACTGTGTGGTGATTGTTAAGTAGGCTTATGTGATCATTTAGCAATATATGCAAATATCAAATCTTTATGTTGTATACCTGAAACTAATATTATATGTCAATCATATCTCAATTTAAAAAAAAGGATAGAGTATGGGACAGGTTTTGGGGTGGGGGTGGGTGCATAAATTTATTTAGGTATTGTGGTCAGAAAATACCTTTGTCAAGAGGCATTTTTGAACTGAGACCTGGACAGGAAAGAATAAATAACCATGAGCAAATCGATGGGGAGAGCATTCAAGGCCAAGGGAACAGCAAACATAGGCTTTAAAGCAGAAATAATTGAAATAATTTTGCTGTGATAGAAAAACAAGAAGGTCAGAGTGGACAAGCAAGAATGCTATACCAAATGAGCCTTGCAAATAGCAGAGTTTCATTATGTAGGGCATCGAAGGCCGTGCTGCAATTAGGATTTTACTGCAAGTATATGGTTGAAGAACGAATGGTGTAATAAATAGTTAATATAATAACAATTTGAAACACTCTTCCATAATACTGTGAAAGGTTCATTATTAAAAGGAAAAGCCAGGTACAACAAAATGGCACATACTGTATAACCTCAAACATGTTGAAAATGCTAGAAAGAAAAATTCACTGATTAATGGCACATTTACAAAGGAAATAGGAAAATTAGGCTGTTTCTTTTTTTCGCTTACATACAAGACCACAACATAATGCCCCATCCAAGAAGCAATAACAGAAAATGGGCCCAGTGATAATGCTCTGCAGACTTAAGACATCTTAATAATATAATAATGAGCAGTTGGTTTATTTAACCCAATTTTTTTATTGAAGTATAGTTAACAGTCAACGTTATATTAGTTTCAGCTGTACAACATATTGATTCGGCCATTCTCTGCTTTACTTGTGGTCATGACGTTAAGTGCCGTCAACATCTGTTACCTTACACTGTTTTTACAGTATTACTGTCTATGTTCCCTATGCTGGACTTTTCATCTCCATGAATTATTTATTTTATTTATTATTATTTATTTATTTTATAATAAATTATTTATTTTATAAATAAAGCTTGTACCTCTTAATCCCCTTTACCTATTTCACCCATTCCCCCCCCCCACCTCCTCTCTGGCAGCCACCGGTTCTCTGTAGTTGAGTCTGGTTTTCTGTCTGATGTTTGTTTTGATCTTTAGATTCCACATATAAATGAAATGATATGATATTTGTCTTTCTCTGACTTATTTCACTTAACATGATACCTTCTACCTCCAATCATGTTGTCACAAATGGCAAAATTTCATTCTTTTTTGTGACTGGGTAATATTCCATCACACACACACTACATCTTTATGCATTTATCGTGGGATACTTGAGTTGCTTACATATCTTGGCTATTGTAAATAATGCTACAATAAAAAGGGGTGCACATATCTTTCATATTAGTGTTTTCATTTTCTTTGGGTAAATACCCAGTAGTGGAATTACTAGATTATGTGGTATTTCTATTTTTAATTTTTTGAGGTACTTCCATACTGTTCCCATGGTGGCTGTCCCAATTTACATTTCCCCCAATAGTCTTTTTCTCCATATTCTCACCAACACTTGTTATTTCTTGTGTTTTTGATTTTAGCCATTCTGACAGGTATAAGATGATACCTTGTTGTGGTTTCGATTTGCATTTCCCTGCTGATGAGTGATTTGAGTAATGTTAGCCATGTGTATGTTTTCTTTGGAAAATGTCTATTTAGGTCCTCTGCCCATTTTTAATCAGATTATTTGTGAGGTTTTTTGGTATTCATTTTTATAAGTTCTTTATATGTTTTGGATAGTAACTCCTTCCTGGATATGTCATTTGCAAATATCTTCTTCCATTCCATAGGTTGCCTTTTCATTTTGTGACGGTTTCCTTCACTGTACAAAAGCTTTTTAATTTGGTGTGGTCCCAATAGTTTATTTTCTCAGCCTAAATTTTTTCATTTAAATCTATTTGAAGAATTACAGAAAAAATATCCCAAAACCAAGGGTTTTTCTTCATAAATAGATATAGTTCTAAAAATATAATAAAGCTCTGAATTATTATGTACATTTAAATGTACGTTTTTACTTGTTTAAAATTGTTTAATTTCAATTCTCTTATTTTTAAAAACTGATCTTTTTTCTGTTCATCATCACCTATCAGAGAAATGCAAATCAAAACTACAATGACATCTCACCTCACACCTGTCAGAATGGCTAAAATGAAAAAGCACAAGAAAGCGAGAATGTGGAGAAAAAGGCACCCTCATGCACTGTTGATGGAAGTGCAAACTGGAGCAGCCACTGTGGAGAACAGTATGGAGGTTCCTCAAAAAGTTCAAAATAGAACTACCCTAGGATCTCTGGATCACGCCAATGGGTATTTACCCAAAGAATACAAGAACACTAATTCAAAGGGATGCATGCACCCCTATGATTATAGCAGCATTATTTATAATACCCAAACTATGGAAGCAGCCCTAGTGTCCATTGATTGATGAATGGGTAGAGAAGAAATATATATACAGTGGAATGTTATTCAGCCATAAGAAAGAATGAAATCTTTCCATTTGCAACAACATGGATGGAGCTACAGAGTATAATGCTAAGCAAAATAAGTTAGAAAAAGACATATACCATATGATTTCACACATATTTGGAATTTAAGAAACAAAACAAGCGAAGGGGAAAAATAAGAGAGGAAGAGACAAATCAAAAAATAGACTCAATTATAGAGAATAAACTGATGGAGGCGAGAAGGGTGGGGGGATGGGTGAAATAGATGATGGGGATTACAAAGTGCACTTGTGATGAGCACTCGGTGATGTATGGAAGTGTTGAATCACTATATTATACACCTGAAACTAATAAAACACTATTAGCTAACTGGAATTAAAATAAAAACTTAAAAAAATGATTTCTTTATATTGATTGAATACACTTAACACTTGAAAGTAGACCAAGGCTTGAAATGTGTTCATATCATGTTACTAGGTTCACTAATTTTCATGTATGTAGCTTTTTAAAAATAATGTGATTATTAATGAAAAGTGTGTTATCTAAAAAGAAGCACTGAAATGTCTTATTTATATATTTTTTTTAGTTGGATCACCGTTATAATGAATTCAAACTTCGTGCAATTATGTCTGAACATAAAAAAACAATCACAGCTATCTCTTGGTGTCCACATAACCCTGATGTGTTTGCAAGTGGCAGTACCGATAATTTAGTGATCATTTGGAATGTTGCAGAACAAAAAGTCATTGCTAAGCTCGACAATACAAAAGGTATATTTGTAACTGGGGTTTATTTTACTAAATGAATTTTTTTTATTTTTATTTTTATTTTTTTTAGATTTTTAAAATTTATTTGACAGAGAGAGACAGCCAGAGAGGGAACACAAGCAGGCGGGAGTGGGAGAGGGAGAAGCAGGCTTCCCGTGGAGCAGGGAGCCCGATGTGGGGCTCGGTACCAGGACCCTGGGACCATGACCCGAGCCGAAGGCAGACGTTTAACAACTGAGCCACCCAGGCGCCCCAACATATTTTATTTTAATAAGCAAATATTTTATTTAAATTAGCTCAGGTTTTAAAGTACTGCTTTTCAAACTTTCCAGTGCAAATCTATGTAAGAAATCTGTGTAAGAAATTTCATATCTTGACTCATTGTACATATATATAAAACTGAAACAAAATTTCATGAAATATTTATACTTAATACAGCGATCAGTTAAAAACAGTCAATACCAAATGATTTCATTAATATGTAAATATAACAAAAATTCTCAAAATAAATATATAAATAATTGGTACAATTTTCTTAATGAGACAATTGGTCTAGCCTGTTCATTACTCTATTCCAATCTGAAACATACACTGACAGTGTTACGCATGTAATCAGGGCCCCGCTGAGTTGGTTTCTCTCCTTTATTTTTATTTTTATTTATTTACTTTTTTAAAAGATTTTATTTATTCATTAATGAGAGACAGAGAGAGAGAGAGAGAGGCAGAGGGAGAAGCAGGCTTCCCGCGGAGCAGGGAGCCCGATGTGGGACTCGATCCCAGGACCCTGGGATCATGACCTGAGCCGAAGGCAGACGCTTAACCATCTGAGCCACCCAGGCGCCCTCTCTCCTTTATTTTTAATTGGGTCAAGATAGAGAGTCCTAGTTCACACAAGTAGGTCTTAGTGAATTGAATATTATTACACTCTAGCTAGCCTCTTACCCCATGATAATGATGAAGTTACCATTTTTCTGTGTTACATGTCGCAATAATTCAGTCCCTTTTTTTTAAAAGATTTATTTATTTATTTATTTATTCATGAGAGACAGAGAGAGAGAGAAGCAGAGGGAGAAGCAGGCTCCCCACTGAGCAGGGAGCCTGATGCAGGACTCGATCCCAGGACCCCTGGATCATGACCTGAGCCGAAGGCAGACGCTCAACCATCTGAGCCACCCAGGTGCCCAGTTCAGTCCCTTTTTTAGTGCCAGGGGTGTCTCAGTTATTAATTACGATTTTACGAGCTCCTGCTGGATGTGTTTTTCATGGGCAGTTGTTCCTCTAACAATTACTGGTTATAACTTTGAGACAGAACACTAAGATGTGACAGTCTCGCTAACTTTATTTTGTTCAGTTTCTTTATAATGTTCTTTTCAGTATGTAGCAACAATATTGAGAATTCCTAGGCAATTATATGTCAGTCTTGCTTCCCAGATAATAATAATGCCTTTTGGAACCTTTGGATATGCTCAGTATACTTAGTATATTTCTTTTTCCTTGTCTTTTCAAATTTAGGTCATTAGGAATGTTGAAAATACCAGTAAAATAAACCAATTTTGTTATATAACTTTCATCTTAAAAAAAAATATTTGCCAAACAAGGTTAATTTTTCAACTAGAAAAATGTGAATCTCATTCCCAAGCTCATATAACCTGATGCTTATTTTCACTTGCAACAACCACTCAGCTTCAGTATTAGTGTGTAGTTTGCTCCAATCTCTGAGCAAAAATTTTTTTAAAGTCAACTTTATTCAGTGAGCTTCCATTACTGTAACGGTTTTCCTTAAGGTTTTCAATACATCAATGAGAAAAAGCCAAAATACTTTTGGTACAGGGCTTTGTGATGTGTAAACAGCAATTGATAGCCTCAACCAAGATTTTTCATGTTTTTCTAGTCATACCTGTTTCTCTACCAATCACAAATCCTACAGGTTTTTCCATTATTGCTTTTAACAGTCAATAGTACATTTTCTCAATACTTTATATTCAGCTTTATGTGAAATTAATTTTAGATAACACAGTAAATACTCCTTAAATGCTGCACGATGTCCTTGTTCTTATGAAGTTGTCACACAAAATCTATACTAGACTATAACTGCATAGTAACATTTTCTAAAAGTTATGGTAGGTACAGATTAGACAGTATATTATTGTATTATCACCTAGTTTATCAACTGATTTGTCATCAAACACCATATGCATCACATCTTTTCATAATGGAAGAGTTTTTTATTCATTAGCTGTGTGCACCATAGCTTTTTTTGCCACAGAGGATACAATTAGATAAGACTTTTTCATTCGCTGAATCATTGAACATTATATCAAAAACTAATGATGTACAATACCTTGGCTAATTGAATTTAAATTAAAAAATAGCTAAATCCTAAAAAAGGCTTTTTTCATTAGCATTTGTAGAATTATTAAATAATTATGCTAACAGTTTTGATCACTTTTACATATTTTTCCTCTCCTTATGTATTTTCCTTTCCTTTGAAAATTTTCAGAGGCTTCACAATAAGTTCCTCATGCCATTTCTAAATATTTTCTTAATTTGAAAATTGAAAGCTATATTTGCAAAAAAATTATGAATATTTTGGTTATTTTCATTGTAAGTAATTCCCTTTGAAATGTCTTAGACTCTGTTTCTTCTTTTCAGAATCCAGCTTAAGCAAAGTGGAAATTTGCATTTAGTCAACCTTTTTTAAAAATCAATATTAGAACTTGAACTTGCCTCTGTATTTTATGTTTCATTATTCTGTTTTCCACGGTAATAAAAATTTTATTTAAAACAAGTATTTGTTTAAATGTAAAATGTTAAAATTATCATAAGGTCGAAAAATATCACACTTGATAATATCCTTTCAGAAAAAACACCCCAAAACATTGTTCCCAATGGATAATAGTACTACCTACCCATCTTACAATATTTTGGGGAGAATTAAATGAGTTGATATTTTATAGAGTTCTTAGAAGTACTTAGAAATAATAAACCATTCTAGAAACCTTTTCTGTTTCAACTATATGACATTGTTTCTGGTCCCTTCTCTTCCTTGCTGCCTGTCTGGAAACATGCATTCAGAGAGCCTGCGTTCTAGTGGCTTTCTTCAGGTGTGCGATGGTGGTTTGACCCATTCAGAGTATCTCATCCCTTATTGGGAAATTCTACTTCTGTTAATGTATTCTAAAACCACACTTTTTTTTTAAAGTTTTTATTTATTTATTTGACAGAGAGATAGAGAGAGAGCATAAGTGGGCAGAACGGCAGGCGGAGGGAGAGGGAGAAGCAGGCTCCCCGCTGAGCAGGGAGCTCTATGCGGGGCTTGATCCAGGACCCTGGGATCATGACCCGAGCCGAAGGCAGCAGCTTAACCGACTGAGCCACCCAGGTGCTCACCACATCAGCTTTTTATTGGTCTTATTCATGGACGCATTCATTCCTTCTGTAAATATTTATGGAGTTACCATTTTATGTCAGGCCCTGAACTAGGCGTTAGGCTTCTGGTTTCTGCCTCTTGGAGCATTAAGGACACAAATTGAATGTACTGTCAATGAACAACTTTCAACTCTGTATCTTTGTTTATAGCACTTCCTCTTCCTGGGAAATACTACTTATCCCATACGTTAAACTCTGCTGCTTCCTCAAAGTATAATTCAAATCCAGCTTCTTTCCAGGACAGTTGCCCAACAGTTCACAAATCTTTCTGTATGTCACAATCATTTGGAAAACATTGTTTTTGTTTTTAAGATTTTATTTATTTGACAGAGAGAGAGCACGAGCACAAGAAGGGGAAGCAGGAAGAGGGAGAGGCAGGCTCCCCGCTGAGTAGAGAGCCTGATGAGGGACTCAATCCCAGGACCCCGGGATCATGACCTGAGCCGAAGGCAGAGGCTTAACCAACTGAGCCACCCAGGCGCTCCTGGAAAACCTTGTTACAAATAGATTCCTGGGCCCTAATTCCATATGATCTGATATGCATATTCAGTTTGCTGATTCTGATGCATTTGTTTAAAGTATCTGTGTTGGGAGATTCATAATCCCTGTCTTGAGTTATAAATTTACCGTGACACTTATTTTATATATGATTTATTTGATCACAGTAATAGTGAGGGGAATACAATTAACTTTTGTATTTCTTCTGTAGTTTAAAAGGGTCTTTTACATGCATTATTATATTTCCTTTCTTAATATTCATGTGGAATATGTGTTCAGCTACTTTTGGTTATATCCATTTTATAGATGAGAAGACAGGTTTAAGAGATAAAATTACTTGTTTAGTTCATCTGAAGCAGCACTAAGATTTGAATCTAAACCCTGATAAAACATAGATTGTAGCATTAATTTTATTGTTATTAAATCCCTTTAGTTGCATTTAACTTTTCATTTATATAATCCTTAGCTTCCCAAGATATTATATTTATATCTTATATTTAAGATCCTTTAAAGCAGGAATTGTATACCATATTAACTTGTATGCTGAGAATGCCTACGAGTCTACACAAAAACTCAGTAAGAATTTATTGCTTTACTATGTAGTTTCTGAAAGAAAAAACTCTGTACATGTCTGCATCTATGAAGCATATTATGATAATTAGTAGTTTTAAACCTAATGAGGTACTTTTCCTTTCATTATGGAAGCACCCTACATATGTTGCCTGTAGTCTTTAGGGTCACTTTATAAGTCCGACTCCCAGCTAGGAAGGTAGTAATATTTTTTTAAATGACAAGCCTGTTCTTTAAGTTGCTTTAGAAATGTGCAGTGGAAATACTATTTAATGGTACATCTTCTTTCTCACGGCTCTATTACGTATCTGTATTTTATTTCTTCTAGGGATGCCTGCCTCTCTTAGCTGGTGCTGGAACGCAGGTGACGCCGTGGCATTTGTTTCCCACAGAGGACCACTATTCATTTGGACCGTCTCAGGCCCAGAGAGTGGGGTGACTGTGCACAAGGAAGCACATGGCTTCTTGTCTGATATCTGTATATTCAGATGGCACACCCAGAAAAAGGGAAAAGTTGTATTTGGTCATATTGATGGAAGTCTGTCAATTTTTCAGCCAGGTAAGAATTTAATTTAGTCAGGTTTCTTTTTCTTACCTTATGTAATTTCTTGTTTACACAGCATACAGCCAAAGTTCACAGTATTTTAATTTTAAAATAATAGTTGTGCAAATAATATCCAGCACCATGAAGTAAGTTTTATTGTAATATATTCAACTCAGCTGTGCAGATTGTACTTTGAGTTAACCCAAATCCAGTCATTTGCCCCATATTTTTACTTTAAGTCAATTGTTTATTTCTGTACATTTACTCAGAAAATGACCTGAATGAATAAGGACATACAGCAGAGGAATATGATGACTTACTAATACTACTCAAAAATATTTTCCCACCTGCTTGTAAAATACCATTGTGATGCCATAGGTCCTTAGCAAAGACTTTGAACTTGAGATGGAAAGGAACAATAAATCTTTGGATTCCCCCATCAGTTAATTAATCTAGCTGAATGAACGGGTCTGAGGAACTAATTTATGTTTATTTTTTCAATTTAAACAATGATAAAATGTGTAATGGGGAAATCTGAAAATTACCAGAATAGCTCTCCACTCAAAAGTAGTATGGCTACCGTTTGAAAAACATGCTTTTAGCCATCTGGCATCTCTGTTGATGTATGTGACTCCTGACTTGCTAGATAGATGGATAAAAGTGCTTTTTAGGACTAAGATCACTACTTTCACAAAATGTATCACATCCAATTTATCTGAAACTAATAGAAGAAAAAAGAAATTGAAGTTGAACAAAAGAAATTATAAAAATTTGAATAAATATTTCTTAAATCTTTCTAACATTAAAAAAATGATATATATGATAATTATATTATGTGGAATTTCAGAAACAAGGCAGAGGATCATAGGGGAAGAGAGGAAAAAATGAAACAAGATGAAACCAGAGACGGAGACAAACCTTAAGAGACTCTTAATCTCAGGAAACAAACTGAGGGTTGCTGGAGATGGGGTGGCTGGGTGATAGACATTGGGGAGGGTATGTGCTATGGTGAGTGCTGTGAATTGTGTAAGACTGATGAATCACAGACCTGTACCCCTGAAACAAATAATACATTATACGTTAATTTAAAAAAATATGTCAAAGGTGATGGGATATCACTCCCTGATTATATTATGTAGTAAAGATGAGATTTTTTTCAGATGTAAAAATAAAATGGTATAGAAAACATTGATATTTTGGTGCCATTTTATCTCAAATGCCTTTCAAACAGGATCTACTGTTTTTCTTCTTAAGGAAAGATAATAATTAGACTTCTTTGCCACCTCCCCTCTGCTCTTTGCACATACCCTGTTGTTCCTTCTGGTTATACGAATGTAACTTGGGGAGAGTTTTATCTGTTTGTTTTAAGTTGGAGTGGGGAGGGATCTGTGCTTGTTTTCTGCTTCATTTGGATTTGTTGTCTCAGACACCCCCACCCAGTCTGTTCTGTCCTCTGCATTGGAAGAAAATTCTGTAAAGTTGGTCATTAGGCTCATGGTTAAGTGACCTCATTCACAGACTTTCTCTGTTTGATCCGGTGCATACCACTTCTTTTCCCTCCTGCGCTCTTGATCGACAGCAGTCTTCCCCAGTCCCCGGGGGGGGGGGGGGGGGGGGGGGGCGGAATTTAGGGACAGTCAGGATGGCTGTGTGCTGTGTGGTTCCTCCTCTGCAGGAGGAGGAGGAACCAACCTCCTCTCTGCGGTCTGGGGGTGTAACCAGACCTTGTTAGGGACTCCCCACTACTCCCCAGCCAGCCTGCACCCAGAGATTTCATAAGGACTGTGATACTTTATTTTTGAGGAGTCTGTGTGCTGCTGAGCTCTCAAGAGGATAATGAGGAGTGTGCACTTACTTTGGTCCAAATTTCATTCTAGATATTATTTGTATTTCATAATTTGTCACTGTGACCATCTTTTTCATTGACTATGGCTTTCTTTTTTTGCTTTATTATTATTAGGCATTTTTTAAGTAGGTATTTTTGAATGTGTTAAGTCCTAGGACATTGAGACATTGTATGATATATCTAAAATATAAAACATTGAGACATTTTATGCTTATTCTGGCATTGAAAGGATAGGGAGGCGTAAAGACCTCCTTTGCCCTTTGTGTCTCCCTTTTGTGGGTTTAAGTCAGAGTGGAATGTGTAATATTTCAACATCTGACCTGTGACTTCCAGAAGAGGCCATCATTTTCCCATAACTCATCTTCCGGTTATTAAATGAAGTAGTTTGTGCATCTCTACCTGTATCATCAAGTGTTATTTTTCTGGACCCACACATGGATTCATTTACTAGGGCTTACCCTAACAAAGTTCCACACACTGGCTGGCTTAGGTCAACAGATGTGTTGTCCCGCAGTTCTAGAGACCAGAAATACGAAATCAAGGTGTCAGCAAGGCCCTCTGAAGGCAACAGGCCTGTCTCTTAGCTTCTGGTCATTCCTTAGCTCGTGGCAGCCTAGCATCAGTTTTCACATGGCATTCTCCCTGTGTACATGCAGGTCTCTGGGTCCAAATTTCTCTTTTTTATAAGGACAGTCATGCTGGATTATGGTTCACCCTCATGACGTCATCTTAATTTATCATCTGCAAATACCCTATTTCCAAATAAAGTCACATTCACAGATCCTTGGAGGTTGGGACTTCAACATCTTTTGGGGGGATACAATTCAACCCATAACAACCCCGTACAGACTTGTTGGCCTCATTTATTCCATAGGATGTTTAGCAATGAATATATACAAAACATTAGGAAAGGTATAATCCTGCCGTGTATTTTTCTTTTGCATATACATGAGCTAACGGGTCATAAAGGAAAAACTACTTTTTATTCTGATGTTACATTCTGCATTGCAAGTTTGAAGCTTTGAGACTGTTAGCATTAATACTAATGTTATACTTTTTACTTTTCCTAAGGAGTGGTCACCTTTAAATTCTTAATGACTTATTGGCACAAGAGATTATTCTATCTCTATGTAACAAAATAGAATTTATGTCCTCCAGGTTCTTGCAGGAGACTAAGACCTCAAGCTCTCTGCTGTCTGGTCTTTATCTCTCTAGAGAAAAAAAGGAAATATTCACGGAGGTGATGTTGCTGGCTTTTATGCCTTCTCCCTTTCAATCTGAAAAGCACCACTTTATTCTATATTTATGTATTGGATTTTCATGTAAAAATTCACAAATAGAGGATTCTAGAGCCAAATTCATTAGAAAACTGCTCTAGCTATTTAAAATTACAGTTTTGGACAAAGCTAGGTCATCAGAAATTTTTTTTATCTTCATAATAGAAATGTTTTCATCGAATTGACTTTTGTGTTATTCCAAGGATGTGCATTAGTCAAATTTGCATGGTTTTATTTTAGAAATGTTGATGAGATTCCCTGTGTAATACTGCATTCCCTTTTTGAAAACACGCAGGAGACCTGTATTTTTGGTCTCAGTTCTGGGAAAAGTGTTTCTCCTGAGCACATTTTTTTTTTTTTTTGTCTTTTTGTTTTATTTTTTTCCTATGGACACGGTGAGTTATGTAACCTTTCATGATTTTTTTCTTCTTTGCTTTGGCCACTGGTTTCAAAATCAAAATTTGAATAGCTATGTGGATTATATGCTACCTCATTATTTCATTTTAATTTATTTTTTATTTTTTTTCATTATTTCATTTTTAAACCCCAATTTTCCCTTGCCCTGGTTTTTGGTTATGTTTTTTTGGTTTGTTTTTTTGTTTTAAATTTTATTTATTTATTTGGAAGAGAGAGCAGATAGAGAATGCATAGAAGGTGGGGAGGGGCAAAGGGTGAGGGAGAAGCAGACTCCCCGCTGAGCAGGGAGCCTGATGTGGGACTCGTTCCATGACCCCAGGATCACGACCTGAGCCAAAGGCAGACCTTAACCAACTGAGCCACCCAGGCGCCCCTAGTTTTTGTTTTTAATGCAGAAATTATCAACCTTTCCTTCTTATTGACTTATTCTTCTCAAATGCTTCTGTCGTATCTGACAACACAAGTTGCCTGATATTTGTATAATAAAATAGAGGGCGCCTGGGTGGCTCAGTCGGTTAAGCGTCTGCCTTCGGCTCAGGTCATGATCCCAGGGTGCTGGGATCGAGTGCCACATCGGGCTCCCTGCTCAGTGGGGAGCCTGCTTCTCCCTCTCCTCCCCACCTGTGCTCTCTCTCTCACTATGTCTGTCTCTCTCAAATAAATAAAATCTAAAAAATTTTTTTTCAAAAGAAAAAATAAAATAGGACATAAATAAATAATATAAAATAATGGAAGTATTATCAGCTGTTCTAATGGTTGGCTGTAAAATTTTATAGATTTAGTTTTCTATTTTTTATAATAAAAATGTTGGTACTAGACAGAACAGAAAACAGTGACTGTAATTCATAATCATTTTGACAAAGCATGGGCTTTCAAGCAACATGATTTAGATACCATAGCATTTGCATTGCAGATTTTCCCACGTTTGTGTTAGTGTTGTTTTTATTTTTTTTCACATTCTGGAATATTTTTCATAAACCATTGATGTTAACTGGTACATCCAAATACCTGAAAATTACTTAAGAAATAGCTTTAGTGTAATTTAGGTTGATCATTTTTCTGTCTCTCTCTGACTTGTAATGATTTGCTGTATTAATATTACTGTTTGTTAGATCAAATAGCAATTTAGCAGATGCTTATTTTGGGAAAGAAGAAGCAAACTTTTCTCGAGGATTTCAAAAATTTGATAAAGCCAAATAAAAGAAACATCACATGTGCCTTCTATGATTTTACATGCAAAAATTCTAAATAAAATGTAAGATCAACATCATAAAGAATAATGTATTCTGACAAATTTAATTCCAACCCAGAAACTGTAAGGTTTTCAGTTCATTTTATAAGTAGCTTATATATCCAAGGAAATTTATTTTTTTGCTTTTATAATCTGATATGTTGAAAAACAGTAAGTAATGGTGATATTACAGAAGGAGCTATGGTATCTGTCAGTTGGGTTATTGTTTCGTAAACACTTCTGGTGGCATTTATAATCCTCAGGAGGAGCTGGTTCTGTGAAGACTGTGGTGTCTGAACACCGTTGTCTTGCTGCCTTTCCTTGGAATGGGAGGCCAGCTAATTGGAGCCCCGTGTAATGTATCAGCAGAAGCATTTTTTTCCCCATTGCCAGTTGTGTCTAAATTTGGAAGGAACAAGAGGGTTGTTTGATAATCCTTCGCTTCATTTAATTCCACGTTTTATGTCCCTATTTTTCTGGCCGCCTTATTTGTACTGGTTGTCGGGAGTGAGTTATACTTACGAGCACTGCTGTGATGCATGTGGAAGGGGGGACCGTAAATATTGACATGCTGCTTATAACAGGCCTCACTGTTCTTAGCACTTGAAGTGACTAACTCACTCTTTTACAAAACTCTACGAGCTAAGTATTGTTATGTTCTCCACTATACAAATAAAACACTGAGCCCACAAAGATTCAGTGTCTTGTCCAAGAGCACAGAGCTAGTTGGTGGTGGAACGAGGCTGTGCACCCAGGCAGTCGGCTGCAAAGTCTGTGCTTTTAACCACAACAGGATGTTCCTCTTGGTGAGCACTTCCCTATCCCCACACTGCTGCAGCTCAGTGGAAATTGTAGTTGATGACATGATCATGGGTATTGTTTATGTGCGTCTTTTTCTTTTGGCATTTCAGTAACAAATAAGAGAAACATTTAGGGTACCAGAGATGGCCAGAGCAGAGCAGTTCAGTCTGACTTTCATCTCGTCCCCTGCACTCCTGTGTGACTTAGGACCTCTGCACACAAAGACCAGATCTCTGTTTCCAGTACTCTCAGAGACCAGGGCTGTGCAAAGAGGAAATTAATACAACCTCATGTGTTGATTTTCTTTTGAGCATTTTGTTTAAAATCTTTTTCTTTATATTTTAATAGGTAATAAAAGTCAGAAACATGTTCTGAGACCTGAATCTCTTGAAGGGACAGATGAGGAAGATCCAGTGACAGCCCTGGAATGGGACCCACTGTCTACCGATTATCTCCTTGTGGCTAATATGCATTTTGGAATTCGCCTGCTAGATTCGGAATCACTTTATTGCATAACAACATTTAATTTTCCCAGTGCAGCAGCTTCTGTTCAGTGCTTGGCCTGGGTTCCCAGTGCTCCTGGGATGTTTGTAACTGGGGGTAAGTTTACCCTGTTCCCCAAAGTTTTAAATAATGTGTTTATTCTCTGAGTCAGGGAAGTTATAGTCTTTTATTGGTTAATTTTGTATAAAATGTATTAATACCCAATACTATCATTTATTATAGTAAATGCCTAGTTTACTTTTATTTATACTGTATGTCATTAACATAATGACAAATAAATATGAAATTAAGGCCCAGTTTTCCAGGTTTCTGGTTATAAATTGGACTGTATTCTGTATGTGCACACATGTGCTCAGGTTTTTGTGTTTGTGTGTAGAAGACAGAGATAATTCAGTTTCAGTCATGGAAGGATGACGGTAAAAGTACTAACTAGAAAAACGGTTGATCTAGATGGGAGCTCTTTTAGCCTCACTGATAATTTGGACAGTCAGTGACCATGAATACCTAGATAGACCATGGCATTTTCAATCTAAGTTGGAAATGAAAGTGGGGTTTATCATCATGGCTTGAAAGGAAGCTCCTTCTTGGTTTCCCAGTCATGAGACGATTAGTAAAACTAAGAACTGGCAGGGGATGGGAAGATAAGGGCACTTAAGCGAGTAATTAGAAATTAAATAACTCCTACTGGTTTCTTAGGATGCAAGAGAGAGGTCTCTGAAAAACTGAGTACTTTCAGCTACTGTATAAATACTTCCCATGTTTGCTTAATATGAAATAACAGAGTCTTTATCCTCACAACTGTCTTGAAGAAATTCTTTACTTCTTTAAGCGCTTACATTAAGCATGGATGTAGATGGAGTCTTACATATCTTAATTGCCTGTCATTTTGTACAATATAGTTAATGACAGGCATGAACATTTAAAATATATTATCATTATTCCTGAATTAAAATTGACATGCCATAAAGCTCAGCATTTTGTTTTTGCTTTTTAAAGATTTTATTTATTTGGAGAGAGAGAGAGCACAAGCAGGGGGAGTGGCAGGCAGAGGCAGAGGGAGAAGCAGGCTCCCCGCAGAGCAGGGGGAGCCTGATGTGGGGCTCGATCCCAGGACCCTGGGATCATGACCTGAGCCGAAGGCAGACGCTTAACGACTGAGCCACCCAGGCGCCCAAAACTTTGAAGCATATGGTTCAGTGGTGTCTGTAGTCACAAAGGTGTACAACCATCACCATGACCTCACTGTGGGACATTTTGTCATGCCCCCAGTAGACTCCGTAGCTGGTAGCAGTCACTCTTCATGAACCCCTTTCCATGGCCCCAAGTGCACACGTGTGTGTATTTAACTGCTAACCTACATTCTATTTCTGTGGATGTACCTAGTCTGGACGTTCCATAGAAATGAAATCATTCAGTACAGGTCCTGACCATAAAGTTTTCAAGGTTCATCCATGTTGTAGTGTGTATGACTATTTCATTCCTTTTTATGGATGAATAATATTGCATTGTATGGGTATGCCAGATTTTGTTTATCCACTTAACAGTTGACAGACATTTACCTTGTTTCCACTTTTTTGGCTTTTTTGCTATTGGAATAATGCTGTGCCGAATGTCGGTGTAGAGGTTTTTGTGTGGACATAATGTTTATCATTCTGTTGGGTATATGTGTAGGAGTATAGATGCTGAGTCATATGGTAACTGTTTAATCACTGGAGGAACTGCCAGAATGTTTCCCAAAGCAGCTTCTATATAATAGGTGGGATTTTCAGGAAGTGGGGGAGCTTTCAAGTTGGTCTTTTGGTATGTCAGGCAGTCTTGGTTGCAGGTGAGCAAAGGGGCAGTTTACGTACATTTCAAAAGACAAAATATTATTTAATGTTAGAGGTGGAAAGTTTTTTGTAGCTGGCTTCCCTAGAGCAAGGGTGTCAGTGGGGTGCTTTTTTTGTGATCAAACTCTAATAATGACCTTTGTAGGGGAAAGCTGCCAAAGCAGGCAGTTGTTCATCCTAGGAAAGGATTTGGAACAGAAAAAAGCAAAATAAGCCAAACATTTAAAGGATGAGTAGTATTTCACCTGTTTCTTTGGGTTATTGTACGATATTGTTTGAAGAATGTCAGTAAGTGGTGCTAAAAATCTTGCAGGTTAGGGGCACCTGGGTGGCTCAGTCATTAAGCGTCTGCCTTCAGCTCAGGTCATGATCCCAGGGTGCTGGGATCGAGCCCCGCGTCCGGCTCCCTGCTCGGCGGGAGGCCTGCTTCTCCCTCTCCCGCTCCCCCTGCTTGTGTTCCCTCTCTAGCTGTGTTTCTCTCTGTCAAATAAATAAATAAAAAATCTTTAAAAAATAAAAAAAATAAAAATCTTGCAAGTTAAAGTTTTTGTTACTACTTTCATGTCTGGGCATTTTATGTTTCAAATAAAACTAGTTAATATAATGCTTTTTTCTTGATCTGACTAGATTCTCAAGTGGGGGTTTTGCGCATTTGGAATGTTTCAAGAACAACACCTATTGATAATTTTAAATTAAAGAAAACAGGGTTTCACTGCTTACATGTACTTAATTCTCCTCCAAGAAAAAAGTGTAAGTAAAAAATCATCAAAATTTAATATTTTAAAATGTCAGATTTACTGCTATCAAATAAAATGACTGATATAATGATATAAACATACCAACTGAACATAGTAAAAAAAATAAATTTACACTGTATGTTAACCTACTGGAAATTAAATAAAATCTTTGAAAGAAAAAGAAAAAAAAATAAACATACCAAATACTATATGCTACTGAAAAGCAGGTTTTAAAAAATGGCCTTTGACAATATGTGAACTAAAGAGCTATCAAGGCCACATAATATCTAATATTACTAAGTTGAAAATATTTAGAGCCAAGTTACATTTTTAAAATGCTAATAAATGAGGATATTAAGATAATTTCAAATTATCTACATGGGGAAAATGAAGCAATGATTTTGGTGAAAATAAGAAATATCAAGAGTAATAGATCAAATAAAATTGATCTGAACTAGGAGACTTTATGTTTTAAGTGTGGCTCTTTTACAATCTGGAGGGTTTATAACAAAGTTGAAATAACCTAAATATTTGAAATATAGGATCTGGAACATATATTCCATGGTTGAATACCAGATGTCACTGATTAGTAGTTGCTATTTTGGATATTCTTTATTTTTGTCTACTTTCTTTTCTGATTACCTTTTATTGCTTCTCTAATTAAGAAAAAATAATAAAATACACTTAAGCAATAAAGGAAAGACTCTGGAATTTGGGGGGAGGTTTAGAATTTGAATTTTTTTAAACATGAGAGAAAGGGATTGGCTTCCTAGTAAGCCAGTCATGATTACTTGGTGTGGCTGGTAGTGCTTTCATTTTTGTGTGGATCATAGAAGAACATGGGGTGGGGGACTTAGTGATTGAGCAATCAAGAGTTACTCCTCCTTACTCACTACTGTTTATCTTTATAATATACTAAATAATTAGCAAGAGCTATTCATTTTTTTATCGTCTAGTGTCTATTTTTTATTTTATTTTTTTCTTTTCAATTTTTTAATTTAATTTCTGGTTAGCTAACACACAGTGCAATATTGGTTTCAGGGGTAGAATTCAGTGACTCATCACTTACATATAACACCCAGTACTCATCACATCAAGTGCCCTCCTTAATACCCATCACCCATCTAGCCCATCCCCCCCACTGACCTCCCCTCCATCAACCCTCAGTTTGTTCTCTAGAGTTAAGAGTCTCTATGGTTTGTTTCCCTCTCTTTCCCCCCCTTCCCATATGTTCATCTGTTTTGTTTCTTAAATTCCACATATAAGTGAAATCATATGATACTTGTCTTTCTCTGGCTGACTTATTTCACTTAGTATTATACTGTCTAGTTCTATCCATGTCATTGCAAATGGCAAGATTTTGTTCTTTATGATGGCTGAGTAATATTCCATACATACACACACACACACACACACCCGGCGAGGGGCTATTCAAAGTAATTCAAAGTAATGTTATTTCGGTTGCAAATTTAGTATCGAATTTAGTGGGCACTGGCAAATAGGGGACAATCTCTGTGTTTGAACCTCCAGGCTTTCCACAAATTTAAGCTTTTCTGTGGCATCCTAATAGTTCCAAATCCTGGAAACTGGAGGGTATAGAAACATTAGGGCCAGAGAAGTAATATGCTGGAGGTTAGTGTATTGTTTATGTATCCTGTATTTTTTTAAGTTCTTAGTTTCTTTGTTTAGTTGCTATCATGGGATGACTGAAATTTTATAGATTCTCTTCTTTCTTGTATTTTTTTTTCTTATTACAAGAGTAGCCTCTGCCCATTAGAGGAAAAACCAAAAATATAAAGAAGCACATACCAATCTTGTCATTATTAAGCAAATCCTTTCACGATACCTATTATTAGACATCTTGTTTTTTTCCTCCCAATTTTTTAAAGTAACAGAAAGTGTGAAATAAGAAAAATTATGTGAAAATGGAAAATTTTAGATGTAGACATACCAAATCCTTTAAAAAGATAAATGACAGATACATAGGTGCGTATAAGGTATCAACACCACCCACAATGTCAACAAATTAAAATATTAGAGGAACGAGCCATGGAAGATGCTAATTTTAATGAAACTGTCAGCAGTATTTTATTGAACCAAATGCCTCTTTTGTTATTAGTAGTTTATGCTAGTTTGGACTTCCTGTCATTCTCAGATTCTGAGAAATGAGTGTTACCCAAATGAATGCAATAAGGAAGACTTTATTATATTTGGATCAAAAAGAATTTATTGGGAAATATTCATCTGTATTCTACTATGTAATTAATATAGATTGGCCTGATCATTTCCAGCAGTATCATTATTTTGAATTATGTTTGCAAGAGAATATTCACATTCTAAGGAAAAACTTCTTGAAAGAAGAGAAAAGTCAAGACAAAGAATATACAGAGAGACATATTAATATAATTTTAAATTGAGAAATGGAAGTGAATGAACAGTGAAAATAAACCCGAGGAAGAAGAGAGAAACATTGAGATGCAAATGTATGTCAGGCAGTTGTGATTCTTAATTTGGGTGCTAAATTACAGTGAATTACAAAGAACCTCAAAAAGAATTATTTTCATTGGATTGGAAATTAGTGGAAGAGAGTTATTAGCTTTAAAATAAAAATATTCTTATGCATGTTTGTGTGTGTAGAGGGGAAGTAAGTCATTAGTCAGCGTTTTGAAAAAACAATTCTAATTAAAAAATAATCATGCTGTGGTTTAATTTGTGGGGCGATAAGAATCCAAATATTCACAACATACTGTGGTTTCTCACTAATTTTCATCCATTGTGCTGCACCTGCACTTTTATACATCTCTTCAAAATAACATCCACTTTTACGTATACGTATGTGTAATTTTTGGCCATGCTGCAGAAGGACTTCTGTGGCAGAAAATGTGGTTCTTGCCTCATGGTTTACTGATATAAATTCTGGATAAAAGAAAACAGAAGGGCATCTTTACAAATTAAGCCCTGTGGTTTCATTCCAGCTTATGGGAAGCTGTTGGTGTAAATATTAACTTGTTTATTTTTTTCTTTTTTAGTTTCAAGCCAGTCTCCAACTAAAAATCATTATATGTCCTCAACAAGTGAAGCAGGTTCACCCCCAACTTTGACACAGAATCAGGCATTTTCTCTTCCTCCCGGGCATGCAGTGTGCTGCTTCTTGGATGGTGGAGTTGGACTTTATGACTTGGAAGCCAAGAAGTGGGATTTTCTTAGGGACTTGGTATGTCTGTGGTCATTCCTTCTTTTATACACAACACTTATTTTGTGATAGCTCATGATATTTACTTTTACTTACCAAGATTGTTAAAGTTATTTTCATAAAGAATCGTATGTTAGGACTTTATCTTGGTTGGCTGAAACGTTCTAGAATTATGTACAGAATGATGGATGACGAAACTAGGACAATTCTTAAAATTTTAAATTTTAAACTTCTTTCAATAGTAATGTTTATTTAGCTTATGATTACTCTGCATGGTTGGTACTGTGTATACCACGTTGATCCTTCATATAGTACTGGAAAATTACATTGCTGTACTATATTTTGGAAGCAAAGAGAAATAAATATTCTTTCAGGAGAAAGGACGAGTCCATCTCTACCAGTTACTCCAAGCTTTATTGTTCATATCTGTGAAATGAACAAGGTTGGGTTCAGTGTTTTCTAAGATTTTCTAAGATTTCTAAGATTTATTGCTGTTATCAAATCAATACAGTGATTCTGTAAACTTTTGTTCTCATGATCGTTAAGCTTCCATATAAATTAGAATACAACCTCACTGAGGACTCACATTTTTGACTGATTTTGTTCTGTTCTTTAACCACCTAAAATAGTGCCTGGAACATAGCAAGACTTTATTCAGTTTTGTTGAATGAATGAATCTGTGAATGAATGAAGGCATGCAATAATGTATATTGTGTTGTAATTGATATTTGTCAAGAACCAGCTTCTTTAAATCTATTTCAGACTGCATAAAAATGCCTTTTTATTTTTTACAGGTTTGCATTAGACTCATCTAGACATTTAAAAAACTTTTAAATGTTCGTTGTTTTTCTGTAGAAAAACTTAGAAAAGGAATATAGAGCTATACTTGCCCTTGTAAAATAATTGAGGGAAAGAAAGTAATACTGTATCATTTTAGGACAAATTTAATTTTGTCCTTGAGTGAAAAATTTGAAATATGGCCAAAAAATTTTTGTAACAATGTGTAGCTTATTTTTAACTATTCCTTTTGTAGATATTCTCTAGATTATTTCTTTTCTTTCCATGTAAACTTTTTATGTAAACTCTTTTCCAGTGTGGTCAACTCTCCTGTACTTCAAATTATCATTTACTTTCCAAAAAGTTTATGAAAAGGAAGGGAGAAAAATATAAGAATACATTTAAATCTATAAAAACTTATATTAGCAAAGAAGAAATCATGCCATCTAAGTTCAGTAGAGTTTCTATTGAGTGTGTATCTTCATATTAAAATATTTTATTTAGAAAACTATGTAATCTGAGAGTTCTCATAAAAACTAAGATATTCCTTGATTCTAAATTATTTTAGTGGCTTGTTTTCACTTTAATAATGCCTGCCAGTCAGGGGCGCCTAGGTGGCTCAGTCATTAAGCATCTGCCTTCGTTGGGCTCAGGTTATGATCCCAGGGTCCTGTGACCTAGCCCTGGAGCCCTGCATCGGGCTCCCTGCTCTGTGGGAAGCCTGCTTCTCCCTCTCCCACTCCCCTTGCTTGTGTTCCCTCTCTCGCTGTGTCTTTCTCTGTCAAATAAATAAATAAAATCTTTAAAAAAAAAATAATGCCTGCCAGTCAGAAGAGATAGTGATTTTTTTTCCTTATAATTTTCAAAGAATAAAGTTGTTAGAAAATTTTGAACAAGACTAAAAATCAAGGCTATGCTGGATTCTTCTTATTTCTGCCAAAATCATGAAGTTCTTTTGGAGTATGTCATTGGTATAAAAAAGAGAATATTTGCATTTAAGGATGTATAGTGTCAATTTCATCTTGGTCTTTTATTATATTTCCAGAATGACATAATAACTATTAATAGTTAATTGCTTTATAAATTTCTAGCATGGTATCCTGTATATGAATATCAGAAAAGATACGTTTTGCATTCTTTTTCTTTTTTTAACATCTTTATATTTAGTTGCGGATTGGAGGCATTGTGGTTGAATAAAATCTATGTCTGTACAAAAGAGTTTAGTAATAACAGCATAGAGAACATTCAACCACAGCAGTGATTCTGATTTTGTATATGCATACATATATATACGCATATATAATATATATATTTTTCTATAAATATTTGGAAACAGTAGTATATATGTTAACTTGATTATACATTGTAGTTTGTTTATTAATAACTTGAATCTTCCTCAGTAGTTGTGACTTCTCTATGCTGCATTCCTAGGGACATGTGGAAACGATCTTTGACTGCAAATTCAAACCTGATGATCCCAATCTTTTAGCAACAGCTTCTTTTGATGGCACTATAAAAGTCTGGGACATAAACACACTAACAGCTGTGTACACCTCACCGGGTAATGAAGGGGTTATTTACTCCCTATCATGGGCCCCAGGTAAGAAGTGTTTTATTAAAATCAAGAATGCAGTTAGATGACTCTCCTAACTTTTGCTTTCATTTGAATTATAATCATCTCTCAGTGCCATCTTGCTCCAAATAATTATAGGGGCAAATTAGTGCCAACATATATGTCGGTTCAGTTTTTGGGGGGGTTTTGAATAAACTGCCCCTGCACAGGCACTTTGTTTTCTGGACTTTTCTATATGACATAATCATATAAAAAACCACAGTCAATAAGGATGATCTTTTCGTTTGTTTGTTTTTAAATTTTTTTAAATTTTTAAATTTATTTTTTTCATTATGTTCAGTTAGCCAACATATAGTACATCGTAAGTTTTTGTTGTAGTGTTCAACGGTTCATTAGTTGCGTATAACACCCAGTGCTCATCCCAACATGTGCTCTCCTTAATACCTATCACCCGGTCACCCCATCCTTAAGGATGATCTTGACCCAAATTTTAGCTGCATTTGTATAGCTATGCTTTTCAAGGTATAACACATTTTATGTGACAAAAGTTTTCCTTAAAATTTTTATGTGAATCAAATGCATGAAAATAAAAAATATATAATATATATCTCTCCCTGACACATCTGTTTGTAAATATGAATGATTATGTATAATCACAGTTCAATTTTGATCATGTAACTCGATATAAATTCTACCTTTGTAATATTGAAGAACTTTTATGCCAGAATAGGACCTTTTGTTTGATCTCAGAAAAATGCTACCTTTATACCTTCCCGTACCTAGAGGAGAAAAAAAGATGTCCTTGAAAACTCTGGCTTTTTTTTTTTTTAAACATTATTTCCCTATATCATTTTGCACACCCAAATGAATTTTTCACTTTATAAAGTATATAGAATGCTTTTCTTATTTGTCCTAGTGGCAACATATTAATTTAAAACCCACATATAACCAGGATATAGCTTATTTTTTAGATCATCTTCTCATGCAACAGGGATTTTTAGCCTTGAATTTATGGGCTGTCACGGGGTTTTGATGTCTTCAGGGATGCTGGGAATCTCTTGGATTTTATGCATAAAAGTTTTAGTGTATGTGTGTACATGCCTGTGTCTGTCAAAGATTATCATAGGAATCGGATTTTCAGAGAGGTCCGTGATACAAAAAAGGCGAAGAACCTAGTGCTGTTTTATTTATCCCTCTTCTCCCACAATGAGGAGAAGATCCAGTAGAAGAAGATCCCCCTCTTATTCTGACAGTAGTTGTTTCTGTAAGCAGAACATACTTAGGGCCATCACGGATACAAGGCCAATTAAAAAAAAAGTTACTTCACTAATTAAGAAGTGAGGCACAAAAAGAGCTGATTAGATCTCTTACCTGCTGCCTTCTTCCTTTTCATCCCTATGTGACACTTTGTGATTACCAACATTTATTAAAGAGGGTCTGAGAGGTTGAATAACTTGCCCAGGTTACATGCCTCAGGAAAGTAGAAATGTTGGAAAGGAAATTCTTTAATTTTTTGAAATGTGGTTACTGAGGAATCACTACTTTTAGCTAAGTATGGATAAAATTTAAAAGATTAACGAAGGTTGATGCAGATGGAAGTGAAGGATAGAGGATTGCATAACTTGCTGCAATTTTAGAATAGCAACCACAGGAAAAGGAAAAAAAAGTACAAATTAATATGGAAACTCCTCCTCAATAATTTGAGAACCCAACAAAGGGAGCAGAATGAAAATACTAGAAATATGGTAAAGGCTTATTTTTTTTAGGTTTATAATCATTTATCACAAAGTATTTCCTCCATGTTTTACTTGTAGGTAGCACAGGAAAACTGTTCCTTTCTTTTAATGGGGAAAGCCTCTTCTTTGACTGCCTTGCAAGAAATTCTTAAGTACTAGATCATCTACTAACTTAGCAGCACTTTGATTTTCACAGGTTTTTTTATTTCTTAAAAACAAAGAGCATTGTTTATGTTTTTGATTTTAAAAACCTGCATTTTTTCATGTGTTCTGCTTTTAGAAATGTTTTCCTAATTAGAAAGAAAAAAAAACCTTACTAGATGCAGTGTAAAGAAAAATGTAAATACTGACTGGATATGTGATAGTATTGAAGAATTATTGATAATTTTTGTATTTGTGATTGTGATAGTTTGGTCATGTTAATGAAAGAGTCTTTTAGACATTTGTACTGAAGTATTTATCGATGAAACGATAGAATGTCAGAGATTTGCTGCAAAGAAACCCAAGAGGGACTATATACAAAACAAGAGTGACCATATTTTGATAATTGGTGAAGTTGTATGATGATACATTCCTTATACTATTCTCTATTTCCATACATTTGATAATTTTCATTATAAAAAACTTAAAAAAAACTACTTTGTAAATTTCAAGTCTTTTTCAAAAATGACATTTTGAAAAGAATTACATGTGTGGCAAACATTTCATATAAGGACTAACAAATTGTTTCCTAAGGTGATTTAAATTGTATTGCTGGAGCAACTTCCCGAAATGGTGCTTTTATTTGGGATGTTAAAAAGGGCAAAATGGTGCAACGATTTAATGAGGTAAGATGTATTTATTGCTGGCTGAATAGTATAATGTCTTATACTGCCTCATGTTTTGTAAATGCTTTTCTCTCTTAATTTAATAATCACCAGGTGACGTTATGTTCTGTCACTTGGAAAAAAAAATCCAAGAGAACATACACATGTTGAAATGAATTCTGAAAAATGTACATGGGTCTAAGATAAAAGAATTCACCTAAAGTTGCATTAGAGATTCAAAGGAATTCTGAATCATCCTCCACAAAATTATCTGGGCAAATATTTAATAGTTGTAAAAAGACTAAACTCGGAACGACTTCCAAATTACAGTCTAGATTCTATTACAATTAGTTTTCCCATAGGGAGAATTCTTTAATGTCTTTTTTTTTTTTTGAATTCTTTAATGTCTTGAACCTGATTCTTCACCTGTAAGATGGTGAAGTTGGATTATACGGTTTCTTGGACTTCCTTCCACCTCTCAAATTCTTTACTCCACGACAAGCACTAAAACCTCCCCTCTTCCTGCTTGTAATCATACAGATTGTACTTGACTTCTGCCTGGAGTTAAATTGTCATCCCACATTTTACTGAGTTCCACTAATATTTGGAAACTGCATGTGATCTCATTATAATAGGTTAGATATGAATCAAGGGAAATAGGAAAGGATTTCTCTTTTGAAATTTCATTCATTTCAAATGACTACTGTTGGAGTTTATTGAATATATAATTTATTTGAGAATAACTTATATTTGAGACTTTATACTTTATTATTATTTTTTAAAATTTTTTATCGTTATGTTAATCACCATACATTACATCATTAGTTTTGGATGTAGTGTTCCATGATTCATTGTTTGTGCATAACACCCAGTGCTCCACGCAGAACGTGCCCTCTTTAACACCCATCACCAGGCTAACCCATCCCCCCACCCCCCTCCCCTCTAGAACCCTCAGTTTGTTTCTCAGAGTCCATCGTCTCTCATGGTTCGTCTCCCCCTCCAATTTCCACCCCTTCATTCTTCCCCTCCTGCTATCTTCTTCTTTTTTTTTTTCTTAACATACATTGCATTATTTGTTTCAGAAGTTATATTTGAGACTTTAAAGCCATTTACACAAAAAACTGATTTTCCTCTGAGGATCAAGCAGCTTTGATCTAGGGGACACTAAAGTAATGTGGGAAATGCAGAGTATTAGGAAAACTTTACCAAACACCAGTAAGCAATTTTGCCCTCAAAAGAGGAAGCTTTGACAAAGGCCCGTATAGTTACTTCCCTCCCTTTCTCTACATAACAATACTTTCAGTTCAGCAGTGCCCCCAGCCTGCCCTCTGCCCTCCCATCATGAACAGCACTGATTCTGTACTAGTCATGTAAAAAGAAAAGAAATGAATCTGAGAAAGAAACTTTTGACCTAAATTCAAAGATGTTATCCTCAGGTGTCACTTCTGTTGATCTCTTCGTACGGCATCTTGGCCTCCTGAGACCTCAAATATCTGCCTGTCAGCACTGCCACGGCCCCACCCTGACTCCTGGCGACTGACATCCTAGCAACAGGGGTGTGCCTCTCACACCCATTCGTGTCTTCCCAGCATTCAGGAGCATGGTCGAGACTGATTGAAAAAGTGCTTAAATCTAGGATAATAAATATGGGGCAAGGTCGGTTGTAATTAACTGAGTTACATGTGTCTCACAGAAGGAGATGCAGGGTCTTAGAAGCCCTAAGTTGCATTTTTCTTGGGATAAACGAAGCTGATGGGAGGCCTCCACTCCTTCAGTTACATGAGTGTAGAGACTACCCACATTTTGTGCCCATCTTTTTACAGCTACCCCCCTTGACCCCCAAAGAGGAAGAAACAGCAAACTAGAGACCACTTTAATAAAGTCGCCTTCAAACTCAAGATAAAAAGTGACTTTAGTCTCTCCTTAGCTACAGCCAAAACTGAACTGCTCTATAAAGTTAAATAAAAGTTGGAAATGGATTGATTGCAACATTTATTCACCCATGTCCCAGTGGATGAATGATATTCCCGCGTATAATATATTCCTTGTGGTTTTACAAATGCTCATCATACTGGTGGTGACTACAACCCTTCCCCTTCCCCAGTCCAAGAATGCAGAGGAACGGGTCAATATAGACCGATTTGTCGCAGGAAGAACCTTAAATCCTTCTCCTTTGTTTTTATAAGATAGAAAACTTTGAGATTTAGGAGAACAACCAGTAATAACAATTGCTTGCAGTATTTCTTACGCTGTACTTTTGGTAGCACTGGGTCAGGAAGCAGACAGATCCCTGTCTTCCTCTGCACACTGGGACTTCTGGAAAAGGCATTAAGCATGGCTTTATTCCACAGATCCTGGCTCTCTACCGGTGTCTGCAAAACAGCAATAGAGCCACTTAATTGATATCTTACACAGGGGGTTTGTTTTTTAAGTGTGATAGCTTTTATATTGCGCTTTCTGCTGTTGACAGTAATACTACTCTGTTAGCATTGTCTAGAGTAAGTTCCTAACAGAAAAGCAATACTAGAAGAAGTAAATAAATAAGAGAAAAAAGGGGTGAATTATTTTTTATTGATAGGTATTTTGCATTTTTTGAAGCATGGAAAAAATGGAATATTCCGCGTTGCCTGGAGTCATAAAGATTCCAAAAGAATAGCTACCTGCAGTGGTGATGGTTTCTGGTAAGTACTATGTATGAAGTTACACTGCTTACGGAAGATATATTGATAATACCCATTGTGTCATGTTAGCACACACATCAGAGTAGTCAGTGAGATTCCGTCTGTACAGCTCTGCCAACTCTCATCAGTATATAAGCCCATATGGGCACACGCCGTAATGCTGTATCAGTACTAAATAAGAGTGTGGTGATGTTTAAAATAAATAAACCAGTAATTTCTTTCTAAACGAAGATACTACTGGAGTTGTAACTAACATACTGTGAATTGCCTCAGAAACTTTAAGAACTTTTCATCAAGGGTCTAATTAATCCTCATCACATTTTTGAGGAAGTGGTATTTCAGTTTTACAAGTGATTCAAGAGATATCAAGTGCTCTAGAAACCTGTTCACCTTTTGTAGATGCTGTTATTTATAAAAGGATGAAAATCCTTTGCAATGAGGAATAAGGTAATGCATGTGGGAAATGCCTAACGTCTCTGACCTTCTGTTTCAGAAATAAGTGCTCTCTTAATTCTGTTAAGTCCCCGGAAAAAGTAGGTTTCTAAGGAATATATGTAAGGGAAGAATTGCTTTTGAGCGAAACAAATGTTTTTATCCAGATGATGCTATTGTGCTGCTATAGGGTATTATCATCTTTGACAGGTGGTATACACACGCACGTTGCTGGAAATATAGTAGAGATGGTCTCCTGTTGGGTTTTGCAGTACCCAGCCCAATTTTCTCATCCTCTCTTTTTAATTTCAATGAAAAAGACAGTTGTTATGGAAACCAAAGATCTTTACCGGGAAGTTGAAATTTTCCAGAAACAAGCATATTAGTGATTTTTTTCCCCTGAAAAGAACTCTTTGCTAATCGATAAATACCAAAATATGAAAGATGTGCCTCAGAGTTTTTTGATAAGGTGATACACAGTTAGCTTTACCATGTACTTTCAGGACACCACTGGTTTGATAAATACCACAGGTAATGACTAAACATTTGTAAGCATAGGTCACCGCCGGTAGCCTCAGAAGTCTTCACTGGCCTAATGTTGTTTTAGAGGATCTTTTCTAAAGACTTTTAAAACCCCGTAATACATTAATTTATACACAACTTCTTCTTTTTTCCTTTTTGGAATCAATTGCCCTGTGTTATGGCAATGATATAGTTGGGTATTAGAGCTTCTTTAATTTTTGCAGCTAAAATATATATTTTGGGGAGAAGGGATCCTCTAAATTTCTAGTTAACCACTTAGAACATGCCACAACAATCTTACAACTTATGTGTCCTTGACTTGGTGGAATAGTACATGCAACTTGCCTTATAAATGAGTTGTTTGAAATATTAATTTTGAACTGCTAAATTTTGAAGCTGAAAATCGAATGCATATGTTAGTTATAGCACTGTTTGAAAATATATGTATTAAACTATGTTTTTCCTGGGGCACCTGGGTGGCCCAGTCGGTTAAGCATCTGCCTTCGGCTCAGGTCATTATCCCAGAGTCCTGGGATTGAGCCCCACGTCCAGCTCCTTGCTCAGCTGAGAGCCTATTTCTCCCTCTCCCTCTGCTTGCCACTCCCCCTGCTTGTGCTCTCTGTCAAATAAATAAATAAAATCTTAAAAAAAAAAATCTATGTTTTTCCTAAAAATATTCTATAAGGAATAGTTTCTAAATCAAAATTTATCACCTTCAAATTAATTTAAGTGGATTGCCATAGTTAATACTGTCTTATGTAAATATACTCACTCATAATTGATAATATCATTTACTCAGTACTTTTAAATGTTCTCCATGCTTTGAAGACAAGGTCTCTAACCTAAAAAACTTATTTTTGAATTATACAATTCTGGCTTTGTTTTTGTGAACAATGTATTTAGAATGTTTTTTCTGTTAACATATTATACTTACTTTCAGTATTATTCGAACAATTGATGGTAAAGTGCTACACAAATACAAACATCCAGCTGCGGTGTTTGGTTGTGATTGGAGCCAAAACAACAAGTAAGAATTTTTTTCCCAAAGATAAATAATAACTTCTGAGATTTTAAATAAGCATGAAATTTAATGTTATTCTCACAGGTAATACTCATCACTCTTTAGGTAATGTTCTTGTTGTCTAGCCTTGTAATTGATTGTTTATGTTAGCTGATGCTTTAGGAAGAAGCATAGGAGTAACTAATAAAAAATGGAAATTTAGTCTCATCTGTATGTGGCTTCTACCATGGAAGTGTATGTAGCCCTTTCCTTAAACCCTTTTAGGAATCTCGCCGATGGTATTATTCCACCACAACTTTCCATTGTACCCTCCCAATGCTAATGCCTTGACACTGGATGATTTCCTAAGATGTAGAACTTATGTACATAGTTTTGAAAGGTCATGCTTGCTTATGAGCCTAGTATTTACCATGTAAAAATCAGCTCAGATTTAAAAACCAATCCAAGTCAAACCCCCACTAAAATTGATCCTTCAAGTCACTGCACTTCCAAGAATCTTGCATTTCAAACCTCTCTTTATGCTATATAAATTATACTTAAAGATTCAATCTTTCTCTAGATATTGTGAAAATAATGTGAAATTATGCTCTTCCATATTGCAAGTGGAAAATATACATATTAAAATATTAAAACCTTGTTATACTTGTGGTCTGAGTCAAATCACATACAAAATGATGGATCTATGTATTTCTTTCAGTAATACAGAAGAATTTATAACACACTGTTAGAGGTTTTATGCAAAGTGAGCTCATGCCCAGCTCCTCCCCCAGGATTCCCCATCTAAGTGGGCTGATAACGTTCACAACATAGCTGCCAAAGCCAAAATCCTTGGCCTCTTCTCTTATACCTTGTCATCTCTCTATTTCCATTTCCATTTCCAGTCGGCCATCAATTCCTGTGATATCATCCATCTAAATATTCTTTCTCCAACCACTCCCTTCCCCTGCCATAAACCAATAATACTTGTTTGCTTTTGGACTTCCTCAAAAACCTTCTAAATCAATTCCAGAATTCATATCCTTTGTCACCACTTCCTTGTCTCCCTGCCCTACCTTCTTTATGAAGAAGTCGAGAGTATTTAACAACCAGATCTCAGTGCACCATTTCATTGCTTTCATTGATTGTAGGGTAAAATGCAAAATCGTAGGAGCCCAGCAGGGAAGTCCTTGTGTAATCTGGTTCCCGTGTGTTTTGGTCATGCCATTTCAAGCCTGGTTCCGCCTTGTTCTTTGTATTCCAGCCTCATTGGCTTTCAGTTTCTTGAACTAGTCAGCTCGTTTTCGTACCAAAGCTTTCCCTCATGCTGTCTCCCTATATCTAGGATTCTGTCCCACACCCCACACCACACAACCCTTCTATATTGTATATAGGTAACACCCACCTATACTCCAGCTCTCTGCACCAAACCACTTCTACAGAAAAGTGTTTCTTGACCCCCATGTTAGGTAAATTTCTTCTATGATATCCTGGGAGCACTTAACATAATAAAAGTAATTGTAACAAATAAAATTAATAAAGATTAGAGCAGAAATAAATAATAGAGGGGTGTCTACCTGGCTCAGTTAGTGGAACATGTGACTCTTGATCTCAGTCAGGGTTGTGAGTTCTAGCCCCATGTTGGGTATAGAGATTACTTAAAAATAAAATCTTAAAAGGGAGGAAGGAAGGAAGGAAGAAAGAAAGAAAATAGAAACTAAAACAAAACAAAACAAAAAAACAGAACAGATCAATGAAACCAGGAATTAGGTTCTTTGAAAAGATCAACAAAATTGCTAAACCTCTAGCAAGACTCATGAAAAAAAAGGACCCAAGTAAACAAAATAATGAATGGAAGAGGAGAAATAACAGCCAGTATCACAGAAATACAATTATAACAGAATATTATGAAAACCTGTATGCCAACAAATTGGGCAACTTATAAGAAATGGATAAATTCCAAGAAACATATAACCTACCAAAACTAAAGCAGGAAAAAATAGAAAATTTGAACAGACCAATCACCAGCAATGAAATTGAATCAGTAATCAAAGAACACCCAAGAAACAAAAGTCCAGGACCAGACGGCTTCACAGGTGAATTCTACCATTTAAAAAAAGAGTTAATATCTATTGTTCTCAAACTATTCCAAAAAATACAAGAGGAAGGAGAACTTCCAAAATCACTCTGTGAAGCCAGTATCACCCTGATACCAAAACCAGATAAAGACACCACAAAAAAAGAGCTACATGCCAATATTTCTCATGAATATGGGTGCAAAAGTCCCTAACAAAATATTAGCAAAGTGAATCCAACAATATATTTAAAAAAATTACACACCACCTTCAAGTGGGATTTATTCCTAGGATGCAAGTTTGGTTCAATATTTGCAAGACAACGTGATACATCACATCAATAAGAGGAAGGATAAAAACCATATGATCATTTCAGTCGATGGAATGTACAAATTACAATATCCATTCATGATAACCCTCTGCGAAGTAGGCCTACAGGGAACATATCTCAACATAATAAAGGCCTCATGTGAAAATCCCACAGCCAACATGGTACTCAATGGTGAAAAGCTTAGAGCTTTTCCCCTAAGGTCAAGAACAAAACAAGGATGTCCACTCTCACCACTCTTAGTTAACATAGTACTGGAAGTCCTAGCTACAGCAATCAGACAACATAATGAAATAAAAATCATCCAAATTAGCAAGGAAGAAGTAAAACTCTCACTATGTGCAGATGACCTGATACTCTATACAGGAAACCCTAAAGACTCCGCCAAAAAACTACTATAAAGTTGCAGGATACAAAATCAATGTACAGAAATCTGTTGCATTTCTATACACTAATAATGAAGCATCAGAAAGTGAAATTAAGAAAATCCCATTTATAATTGCACCAAAAACAAAATAGGAATAAACTTAACCAAAGAGGTGAAAGGCCTGTACTCTGAAAACTATAAAACACTAATGAAAGAAATTGAACACAAATGGAAAGACATTCCATGCTCAATGGGTTGGAAGAGCAAATGTTAAAATGAATAGATAATCAAGATGTGGTATATATATGTATAAATACACAATGGAATATTATTCAACCGTAGGAAAGAATAAAATCTTGCCATTTGCAACAACATGGATGGAGCTAGACAGTATAACGCTAAGCAAAATAAGTCAGAGAAAATTACCGTACGATTTCACTCATATGTGGAATATGAGAAATAAAACAAATGAGCAAAGAAAAACCAAAAGACAAACCAAGAAACAGACTCTTAACTGTAGAGAACAGATTGATGGTTACCAGAAGGGAGGTGGGTGAAGAGATGGGGGAAATATGGGATGGATATTGAAGAGTACACTTATCATGATGAAAAAAAATCAACTATGAATTACTTGAGAACACATAACAACTAACCATATGAATACTAAAAATACGTATAATTTTAAAAACCATAATTTTAGTTGGAAATTTGCTGTCTTGCCCTCTAAAATGTAAGGTCCATGAGATCAGCAACTGTGTTACCTATTTTTAGCAATATATTCTTAGCAAAACACTGTGCTGCTAACCCTCTCTGTGCCTAGAAGAAAGTAGAAATTTAAAAAATATTTCTTCAGTATACAAATGGATAGAATTACCTTGTATCTGATTAAGAGAACAGTTCCACATTCTTATTTCTCTGTTCTGTAAGGTTAGTAAGCATTTGACCAGTTGAAATAAAAAGTAGATATTAATACAATATGTTTTGTTGGTTAAAAAAGTCTTTTATGCTTAACTTTTATGCTTACTACCAAGTGTACCTAATAAATTTCATTTTTATTTTTAAAAACCTTTTAAGACCTTTTAAAAATGTTTGAATAGCAGTATCTATATTTTAAATAGCCCCTTAAGAGATAAGTGAAAAATACCTTGAACTTATAAAAGTTTATTCATAAGATATCTCTGAATTTATAATTTCAATATCTATGTGTACATTCCTTGAATGTCTATTATTTAATTTTTAAGATTTTATATTCATGTGTCCATATACACATATACAAAAACATACTCATGTATACATGTAAATATTTGTATTATGCAAAGTGTATTTTCCCACATGTAGAGACTGGCCCATTTATCAGTGGGACTTAGGCAGATGTAATAATACACAGATTGGCATGCCAGTTTGCAAACTGGTGTTTTTATGCATGTGGGCTTAAATAAATGCAAGTATTATAACCCACATGACAAAAATCAGCAATTTGAAGTTTGAGGAAACAGTTGGGCCAAAATGTGCAACTTCCATTTAGAGCATGAGGGCTGTTTGTATGATTGTTAAACAGAGGGAGTTACATTCTGGAAGGGAGGCTTCGGGCATGATTTCCACAATTCTTTCCTAGTCCTCCTCACTCCATTTGGAACAGTGTTCCAAGTATGACCACGAGGATGTAAATAGATATTAATGGTTGCTTAGTTTACTCTCACTCACTTGAGAATAACAAACAAAGATTATTAAAAGATCATATCCACATATTTTAGTTACAGAGGATCCTTAGTTGGAACAAACAGTTAAAGCATCTATCTCAAGTTGGTGCAGCCACCAGAGACGGTTGGGAAACCAGGACTCTGACTTTCTGTCAGATGGGACAATCCTGGTCTGTGGGGAGATTTTCCAGCATCCTTCAGGGGAAGCGCAGCAATTTGTACTCATGCCACAGAAAAATTTACCAGTGGTCAGGGCATGTAGTGATTAATAATTTGCTTGCTAGCAAGGAAGCAAATCTCAATCACTCACCATTGGGGACCCTTGTTAAGACCCAACAGTTGTGAAATATAAAGATCTGAGAAATATTCAAGAAATTATGAATCTGGACATTTTTAAAAAGAACTTATAGAAATATGAATTCCATTATCTCTGATCTAAGATTAAAAACTAAAAATTCAACTGATTAAAGGAGAATATAAAGAAACTCTTTGCACTAAGGCAGTTTCTGGGAATAATGGTTTTACTTCTGTGAGTTTTAGGTCTAACTTCATTAAGGAAGCAAAAAATTGTAGTTTTAAAAATTAGAACTGTGTACATTTTAAAATTATTGTAACAAATAATATCAATTTTTTTCATGTTTTAATGTACCATTGATGATGTTTCAGAGACATGATAGCCACTGGCTGTGAAGATAAAAATGTTCGTGTCTATTACGTGGCCACCAGCTCTGATCAACCACTGAAAGTATTTAGTGGACATACTGCAAAAGTGTTCCATGTTAAATGGTCTCCTCTGAGCGAAGGAATTCTTTGTAGTGGTTCTGATGATGGGTATGTATTTTTGGATTCTAATTTTTTAGTCCTTAAAATCATAAGCTTATAATCTTCTAGAAATGTATGTATTTATATGATCCAACTTATGGGTGGAAATATTTTAAATATGTACATATAACAAGGATGTATAAGCAGTTAACAATTACCTAATTGCATTTAACCATAGTAAATTAAATTTTGCCATGCTTATGTTATTATCATATTCATGATTTCTGTTTCCTTCTTTTGCTTATTATGGATGCTTATTTCTATCTTATTAGCAACAGAGTTAACAGAAACAAAAATTTCAGAAGGATCAGATTGGAAAGGGAAAAAAGACCTGAAACAAACAAATCTCTGTAAAATATAGAGAAGAGTTTATTTTTAGTAATGTCCTGTTATTTAATATGGAAAACAGCTATACTCTATTTTCATTAAGAATAGAAAACAAGATGATGATCATGTATTTTTAGCATGAAGAGAATTTATTTAGAAATGAGAGTGATTTAACATTTTTTTCTGGGTTTGTGAAAAAGTTACTGAAATCTTGTCTCTATTTTATATTCAAACAGACAAACAAATAGTTTGGTCCCTATTTGAATATGAGATAAATTTAGGTAAGAAAAATCTTACTTTATGCAGATAGAAATCATACTATACAGTAGCCACAAGTTTAATATTGAATAATTGATTATTTTCATCTTGAAATTTTGACATCCATCCAAATTTCCTAAGAAAAGCAATTGTGAGATTTCTGTGGGTTATCACTAGAAATGTTACTTACAGTAAGGTTATCGTATCCAAGTGAATGAGTTGACTTAGAGATTTTTTGTCTCTTAACATAGACCTCAGTGTCTAGATTCTATTGTTACATCAAAAAAAGTATAATTTTCCACCATTGTCTAAGAAATATTTGTCAGAAAGATAGCAGTAAGCATTTTACTTAATTATGGTGATGAAAATTGAAAGTCTTTTGTAATTCTGGTTGTTGGTCCCTTTATATGACTATATAGGTGATAACATGCTGTCTAGCACCTTTAAATAATGCTTTTGTACAGTGGGATAGATGAAGCTTTTCTTGTGCTTGACTACAGAATATAATTATGATGTCAGCCTGATGTTTGCCTAATCTAAATTATGTCATAAAGCAAGAACACCTGTTCTAGTATCTCTTATGATAACATTAAAGTATTTTGATACATCTCACTTTAACATTAGCTTATTTATGAAAGCATGATATTAACCAAAATAACTTCAATGCTAACATAAGGATTTAGCACAAAATTAGGTTGTGATATGTCTAGACACAGGGACCAGGATAAGGGGAAAAAGAAGTAAGTCTTCATAGCAGAAATAAATATGCCTTAAAGAAATAAAAAAATATATAATGTATCTCCTTTAGAGTGTAATATAACCTTTGAAGTATTAATATTTTGGCATTGTCAGGTTGATATAAATCTGCAACTAAAAATTATTATGAATTATCCAAGCAAAGTTGGCATTTGGGGGTCTTAAATTGATCCTGAGTTCAAATTTTATTTCAATAACATTTCTACTTTATACAATTGGTAGATTCAAGTAATATCATGAGTCCAGTTATATTTAAATTTTGTACTTGATTTTAGAATAACTATAAAATAACTAACCAACTTATTTTATTGACCGAAATATGCAGGAATGATTTGCTCTTTAATAAGAGCATAAAGATGAATTGATTTTTCAAATAATGTCCATCATCATACATGCTATATTTTCATGATTTACGAATAATGTGAGTGTTGTTAAATTATTATATCCATATTATTAGTAATATTTTTGGCTTTATCTGTTCTGAATATTTCACTTTAAGAAAGAAATTTTTTAAGTCTATAGACTGTGAAATAGTAGATTTAGGATCAGTAGTAAAGGACCAGTTAGAGTAGGGAAACAAAATATTGAAATAGACTAGCTCTAGCCTAGTTAGTTGTTCATTTTCATCTGCTATAAAGAAAAGAATTGTAACATACCTTGAAACTTAAAATCCTTTTTCAATTTACTGAGAAATAATTGTGCTCCACTAAGAATGTGTCAGTACTTTAGACAAATTATAACAAATTATATATATATTATATACATAATATTCTGTTTTCAGTTCTGTTCGAATCTGGGATTATACTCAAGATGCTTGCATAAACATTCTTAGTGGCCACACTGCCCCTGTGAGGGGATTAATGTGGAATACTGAGATTCCGTATCTACTCATATCCGGCAGCTGGGACTACACTATAAAAGTATGGGACACGCGAGAAGGAACGTGTTTGGATACTGTTTATGACCACGGTGCAGATGTATACGGTAAAGTGTTTCTCATGCACTTTTAAATTTTGCTGTATTAGTGAAGTTTATAATCTCTGAGAAATACAGTGTTTTTTTAAGAAACCTTACAGTGTTTCATTTTAAAATAACATTTTCTTATTAAAACTGTACTTGTTTATTATTGAAATATCAGAATACACAGAAGATAATCCAAAATGTCATGAGAGATTATTTGTGTTTCTGTGTGCACACACAGGCACACACATGGGGCTTGGATTTTTCTCCCTTCCTTTACCATCACTCCAGAAGGACGTTGTAAAACAGGAGATCAGTGATAAAGTAGATACAACTTCTCTAGCCATTCCTGTATCTACTCTTGGATATTTAGGAAAATGTTTTGCTTTTTAATATAACAGTAAGTCTTTAAATACAATTAAGCTGAGTATAGGAATCAGGGTTCTTGTCTTTTGCACATCACTTTCATTTATAGACCCAAACCTCGATGGGCCTAAGTGGTGAATTAAGTCAAGGCGAAAATGGTTCCTTAGAGAAAGTCACCCCACTCTAGGCACTTGTGTCCATATACTTTACCTCAGTGGCCTTTCAGGTGAGGCAGAGGGGCTGAGTGTGGGAGAGAATCCTTTTTCTGGATGTTCTAAACCGGAAGGTCCCAACTCTCTTTCTTCTTGTAATTAGAACTTCCGTCCATCTGCCATTACCTCACAGATAGCCATGACTCCATTGGTGTGACAGTACGCTTGCTGCTGAACCAACTGAAATGTAGTTTCAACGTTTTCATCCAGGACCGTTTGCTAATCATTATTCAATTTTGTATTCGTATTTATAGAATATGCTAAATAATATATTATATTCTTGTATCATTTTCAGCCGAAATAGAAATGCTATTTCAAAACACTTCTATATAACTTAAATTTTGTAGTTTTATGAGGTACGCATAGATAAATAATATTTTTCAATGTTTACTTTAGTTGAAATAGGTTTCTTTTTTCCATCAGGTTTGACATGTCATCCGAGCCGCCCCTTCACTATGGCGTCTTGCTCCCGAGATTCTACAGTGAGACTCTGGTCGTTAACACCTTTAATCACTCCTCTACAAATAAATATTCTGGCAGACAGATCTTGGGAAGAAATTATTGGAAACACTGGTATTGAAAATAAGCATCTATTAGATTTTACTTTTAAATTATATCTTACAAGCAATCCTTTCTCACTGGATTATGTCTGTTCTTTAGATCATGCTATAGCACAAGGCACTCCTCCTCTATTGTGTGGTAAAGTATCAAGAGATATTAAACACGAAATAGAGAAACTAACTGGTAATCCTCGAGCAAAAAAACTAAGATGGTTTTCAGAATGTTTATCCGTGAGTATTACAGGAGTTAAATGTGAACATTTCCCTGTAGTCACAATGAATCATTGCAACTGTTGTCATTATCACATATTTACATGTATCATCCCAACTCAGCCGGCCCCTCTGAACATAGCTGGTGCAGAGTAAGAAAGCAAATGGAAACCAGAAACAATAAATGAGATCAAGTATTGTTATTATTTGGTTAATTTTTCAACTTAGATATGCCTGCATCATATTTTTGAAGATGCGAAGTTCTGTGGGGTTTTGAATGCATTATTATATCTTTGGTTATTCTGTATCAACCTTTTAGCCTCCAGGTGGCAGTGACAATTTGTGGAACTTAGTTGCTGTGATCAGAGGGCAGGACGACAGCTTGCTTCCTCAGAACTACTGTAAAGGAATAATGCATTTGAAGCATCTGATTAAATTTAGAACAGTAAGTAAAGTATGCAAGGATCATGTCCTCAAGCAGAAATTATTTTTGCCTTTTCACTGTTGAAATACAAGAATTATTTTGAAAAATTTATAGAATTAGATTGAGTAGCCTGAAGTAAGTGAACACTGAGGAGATGAATCTTCAGTGAAAACCGATCATGAGAGTCTGAATTATCTGAGACCAGATTAAGGCAGCCTTGGTTCCCATAGGTCAAATCTCATGAATTTCTTCAAAGGTCACTTGGAACTACTTGAAATCCTTTACCCTATTACCAGATGACCGTGACATGTAGACCACTCTGACTTTAGTCTCAAGGGCCTGATAGACTGTATTCTGGGATATGTTTTATTAAAACTGGCCATGTTAGAGCTCTTAATGGATTTCATTTTAAAATTATCAGTGACCTTATGCCTGGAGTGATACCCAGTACCAACACACCAGTGCTGGGACCAGAAAGAGGAAGTAGTTCTTATATTTGCAATAAAATATCATGGTTAACTTAGCTGTTAGACCATGAGAACTGGGCCAGAGACGTGGATTTGAGGGTCATATGAAACAGTTATTTTCCTAAAGGAGGACTTTCTGTAGTCATCACCACCTAAGGACAGCAGCTCTTACCTCTTGCCAGTACAGGAGCCAATTAGAGTGAGCCTGTCATTTTTTATTTTTATTCCAGACTTTTGTACATTTTTTTCACTAGTTACATATCACTTTATCTCTCATGACCTTTTGGCCCCTGAACTTCTATAGAACCACAACACCTGGTGAGTTTTAAGGACAATGGGGTTTAGCCTCTCCCTGCCCACACCAGGCACATCCACTCTTTACCCCGCACCCACACCAAAATATTATAGTGGAAGAGGTATCATATTTTATAGAGAAAAAGTATTGATTTTTTAGAATATTTAATTTCCAGTGCTACGTGCTTTTAAAGTACGTGCCCCTGTAATGCTTTTATAATCATCTGTTATCACCAGCTCTTGTATAACAAAATTTAGAAAATTTTATTTTCTTTTTAACCAGTCTGAAGCCCAAGAATTGACGACAGTCAAGATGTCTAAATTTGGTGGTGGTATCGGTGTCCCCACTAAGGAGGAAAGGCTGAAGGAAGCTGCTGATATACATTTGAGATTAGGACAAATTCAGAGATACTGTGAACTGATGGTTGAACTTGGAGAGGTAAAGTGCTAAAATCAGTGAGTTTAACAAAGTATTCTAAGTCTTGGTGAAATGCTAAATGTTAAGCTTCTCTTTTTCCAGATCTATTTGCTTCTCTGCTGGTCTGGTATCAGGTGTATATCTGAGCAGTACTTCTCAAAGTGAGATCCCCTGGGCTAGAAGCATCAGTGTTGCTTGGGAACGTGTTAGACATGCATGTCCCGCCCCACACCTACAGAATCAGAAACCCCGGGGATGTAGCCCAATGATCTGTGTTTTTACAAGCCCTCCACGTTATTCACATGCATGCTAAGGTTTGAGAATCACTGCCCTAGGGTAGACTCTTTGATACCCTAAATATCCATGTTGGCTGAGTTGCACACAGTAGACTCCCCTTTGCTAATACTGTTTGTCATGACTAAACCCCACACTGACCAGAAGGGTTTCATTGAGGATCATCTGGTGAAAGATGCTTCTAAGGCACATCTTATTGTTTAGAGGACTGATTCAACAAAACAGAGTTTTCAAAAGAGGTTAAGATGAATCTATCCTATTAAAATTCAGGATAGTGGTTCTTTTGAAGAGTGGGTGGTAAATAAAATAGAACAAAAGGGAGAAGGAGCTTCGTTTCTTGATCCAGGTGCTGGTTACTTGAGGGTATTCAGTTTGTGCAAATTTATGAAGCTTTTCATTTTTATGCACAGCCATTTTAGCTCAAGAAAAATTCTCCCACCCCTCCAAAAAAAAAAATTAGAATGGCATGGACTCATTTCATAGTTGATCATTTTGAAAAGCTCTAAGTTAGTTAATTTTATAATTATAAAGCATGCTATTAAGTGTATTAATAAATAATATAAAGTAAAACTAAGCAATAAAATTACATTAAAATATATCAAAATTAAATTTAACTCACCTTTTTATTCCCCCATACACTAGAGGCAAATAATGAATTACTGCTTGACCTAAGACAAAATGTCATTTAAAAATGTTATTGAAAAGGAAAGGGTGTGTGGGTGGCTCAGTTGGTTAAGCGTCTGACTCTTGATTTTGGCTCAGGTCATGATCTCAGGGTCATAAGATTGAGCCCCAAGTCTGGCTCTGTGCTGGGTGTGGAGCCTGCTTAAGATCCTCTCTCCCTCCACCTCTGCCCCACCTACCTCCATTGCTCTTGTGCATGCACTCTCTCTCTCTCTCTCTCTCTAAAGAAATTAAAAAAAAATTTTTTAAAGGTATTGTAAACTATAAAGTGTTTAGGAGCAGTATAAAAATTTTACTTCTGAAGAAGTTGAGGTTTGTCTTAAAAGTTACCCTTTTAACAAGGCTCTATTAGAATATCTATCAAAAGGGGGCACCTGGGTGGCTCAGTCGTTAAGCGTCTGCCTTCGGCTCAGGTTGTGATCCCGGGGTCCTGGGATCGAGCCCCACATCAGGCTCCCTGCTCCACGGGAAGCCTGCTTCTCTCTCTCCCACTCTCTCTGCTTGTGTTCCCTCTCTCACTATGTCTCTCTCTGTCAAGTAAATAAATAAAAATCTTAAAAAAAAAAAAGAATATCTATCAAAAAGTCAAGGAGAAAAAGAAATAAATTTTGACAGAATACTAAATCTTCATTTTCCTCAGTTTTATATCTGGGTATATATATTTTAAGCTATATTTAATTCAAATTTAATTAAAATTGCTTTAATAAAGTACTTCTGGAGCTTAAGAATTTTGTTGTGCAGTTTCATTAATGTTCTTAATGATCTGAAAAACTGTGCTTACAATCCTTGAGAAATAGGAATCTCCTTGTAATTGTTCATGGTCACCCCCTTCCATAGTTTCTGTTTCTCTGAGATTAATACTGTGAGGTTAGGAAAACATTTAATCTTTTCACCTACAAGACATGTTTTTATAGAAAAATCTTGATGATTTCTAAGTTAATTTAACCAACATTTTAACTTCTTTCTTCCATTTGCCTCTACTATAATAAAAGCAAATTTTCCCTAAAAGTATATTTTAGATTACTTTTTTAAAAAAAGGTAACATGACTACAAATAATGTAGTATTAAAAATCACCCATTTTAAATCAGAGGGGGAGAACGAACCATGAGAGACAATGGACTCTGAGAAACAAACTGAGGGTTCTAGAGGGGAGGGGGTGGGGGGATGGGTTAGCCTGGTGATGGGTATTAAAGAGGGCACATTCTGCGTGGAGCACTGGGTGTTATGCACAAACAATGAATCATGGAACACTACATCAAAAACTAATGATGTATGGTGATTAACATAATATTTAAAAAAAATTTACCCATTTTGTACACTCGACACTAATATCACTGTATGTTAACTGGAATTTAAATAAAAACTAAAAAAAAAGTTACCTATTTAAAATTTAACCTATTATTTTCAAGCTAATTACCAATTTTCTAGCCTTAATTGCAGTAGAATTCTACTGTTTGGGAGAGCCTTAATTAAAATGAAGCTTAGATTCATGTTGTGATATTTCAGAATATTTTACCTTCATCTCCCTTCTAGACGTGAGTTCAGTGAAATCTATATTTCCATATAATTGTCCACTTACCTTGACTGAACAATGATCTTCTTTAATAACAGTCTAATTTTTAAAATGTGAAGGTTGGTATTATCAACTATAAAGGAAGAAGTGACAAGAAATAAAGTTTATAAAAAACAAGGAAAGAATAAAAATAGAAATGTCTTATTTGTTAAACAGAAGTGACAGTGTAGTAAAAATTTCAGTATGTATTATTTTGAACATAGAACACAGATTACCATAGAACAGATTACTCCGAGGTTGTGTCAGAAGATAAGTTAATATATTTTTCAAACTACATACTTTAGTTACTACTCTTCTCCTTCCCTCACTCTGCCCCCTGCCCTCTAGGTTTGGGATTTTCCCTGCTAAATAATACAATTTATATATCTTACTTTATCTTAAAATGTGGTATATTTATACTCTGTGGAATGCATCAGGTAGAATACAAAAATATTCCTGGAAATCCAAACACACTAGAAAGTCGTATTATACATGTGGGTTCATTAAAAAAAAAAAAAAAAAGAAGAAAGTCCATTAAGAGTTAGTGCAATCGGGGCATCTGGGTGGCTGAGTCGGTTAAGCATCTGCCTTCAGCTCAGGTCATGATCAGGTCAGCAGTCCCGGGATCGAGTCCCGCGTTGGGCTCCCTGCTTAGCTGGGAGTCTGTTTCTCCCTCTGCCCCTCCCCTGGCTTGTGCTCTCTCTCACACTCTCTCTCTTTCAAATAAATAAATAATATCTTAAAAAAAAAAAAGAGTGCAATCAAAATAGACCTGTTTTTGCCTTTCTTTTTTTCTGTTCTAGTGGGACAAAGCCTTGTCAGTTGCACCAGGGGTGTCTGTGAAATACTGGAAGAAGTTGATGCAGAGGTAAAGAGAGTGTGTCCAAATACATGTTTTAAAATATGTTAAAACAGAAGCAGTATATAAATACAATAGCAGCTTTTGAGATTTTTTTTTACTGTTATGTTGTCTTTAAAAATAGCTGAATTTTATGTCTACTAATACAGTGAATTAAATGAATCGGTTACAAGTCATTTTGGTGTTCTTATATTTGACCTGACATCTGAAAGAGACAGTGGAAGGCAGTTTTTCCCATGTCAGTGGAGGGACTGACAGATCAGTAAACATACTTATTGGTTAATATATTGCTATTGAAATATAAGTGGTAAGATTTTCTGACGGTTACCAAAAGTTCACAGAATACTTATTCTATAAGTAATCTCAGAAATTCTCTCTGGACACCAGTCCCTGCCATCTCCTCTCCATGAATATAAAGGAGGAACTGATGACTGAGAAGACTTTCTGAGATATATTCATCTCTTATGGCTGCTACGACAAAGTACCATCAACTGGTTGGCTTGAGACAACGGATATTCATTCTCTCACAACCCTGGAGGCTAGAGGTCCAATATCAGGTTGCAGGAAAGATTGGTTCCTACTGAAGGCTCTGAGAAACACTCAGTTCCATGCTTCTCCCCCAGCTTCTGGTGGTTACTGGCAATCCTTGGCATTTACTGACTCATGGATGCATCACTCCAACACCTGCTTTGTTTTCACAGGGTGTTATTCCCTCTGTGTCTCTGTGTTCACATTTCCATTTTTCTTTGCGAATACCAGTCATATTAGATTTAGGGTCTACCCTAAACCGGTATTACTCCATCTTAACTGATTACATTGGCTAAGACCGTAATTCCAAATAAGGTTACACCTGTAGATATCATGGCTTCCTACTTCAACATAATCTTTTGGGCAGACACATTTCAACTCACAACATAAGACTCTTTTCTATTCTATTCTATTCATTAAGTGAATATTTATTTAGTTAGTGTTCACTTTGTGCCAGTCACTGTGCTAAAGCCTGTAGAGTACTATTTAACGAGTAATTACCTTGCTTCTGGCATCAGAAAGTTTTGACTTTCTTTCATGGGACATGATTTAGAAACAAATTCAACTGCAGCTCCCATGTACAAATAAAAATCTGTCAGAGGCTAAGCATGAAATGCAAAAGGTTAACAAATATATCTGCCAGGGGAAAGTAGACTGTTCCCCAGTGCCTGCTTTCCCAGTGGTAAGTTTATCAATGGGCTGGCTTTAGCCCCCACACTGTAGGCTCCCCATCTTAAGTCCTAAGAATCCCAAATAATTCCAAGTTCCTGTACCCCCACTGCACAGTTGTGAATGTCATCCCTCCCACTGAAACCTTAATAAAGTCAAGTTAACAGATGATGTTTATTTCACAAAACAATTTTGTTTCAACCTCAGCAAAAACTATTTCATTTATTTTGGGAAACCAGCACCTGATTTTCTCTGCTCCTTAATTCACATGGTGGCCAGAAAATGGTCTTCCCACAAGGACACAACTGACAGTATCTCAGCCCTAGTTCCTAGGAAGGGGATGTTATTCCTATAACAAGGAGATCAGGGTCACATGGTTAAAAACATAGTTGTTGGGGAGAACGCCAGTGACCCTGTGAATGGGAGACTGTTAACAGTGAGCTGGGCAAACAAAAACTGTCTGCTACACCTATCCAAAGATTGGCAGTTAATGTAGTTTAATGCAAATGCCAGCATAAGTTAAATAGACCAGATTAGTTTTCAACGAAACTGTAAGAGGTGAATTAATTTGGTTGATCATTGGGAAACTACCTGGGACTTACTTAGGAAAAGAGAAAGACAGACACGATACAGAGAGAGACAGAGCAGACGTACTTATACCCTTCATCATCCTCAAGATCAGGATCCTGTTTTCCCCTCACATATGAGGAGCATTATTTTTTTAAACTACCTTGCTTGGGGCACTCATAATATTCTGTATTTTATTATCAATTCTTATACTCTTATATTGTCTTTTTTAATGATTTTAAGCTACTTATATTTAGAAGCTCTCCATTCATTGTTATGATCAGTAAAACATTTAAAATTCTATTGTCTTTAATGAAGCAGACACCTGTGTATTTATTAATGCAGTTGAAAGTGGATAACCCATCACACATATCTAGTTTACAACTTATTTTCAGAAAATATATTGCTCATTTTAATAGATAAGCTACATTCATTTTAAGACCTAAAATGTTCTGTGGGCATTTAAAAATATGAAAATATGTAGTATTCTAAGAGAAAGCAAGTATCTATTGTTATTTATTATTCCAGAAAACTTTTGTCTTCCATATATGATTTGATTATAAAATCTGAGGCTTTTAGAAAAGTGATGTGCAAAAGGGCTTATGAACTCTACCACATATTTTGAATATTTGAATGTTTTAGATATTTCAGAAAATCTCAGTCCAACCTAGAACCTTGAAATTAGTGTATTATAAAAGAAATTGTTCTTATTTTATTAGGAGAGCAGATCAATTAATCCAGGAAGATAAGGATGATGTCGTTCCATACTGCATTGCCATTGGTGATGTGAAAAAATTAGCCAACTTTTTTATGTCGAGAGGTCAGCTTAAAGAAGCTCTGCTTGTTGCACAGGTACAACAATGTAACTACACAAACTCCGCGCCCGGGTGTGTGGGTGTGTGGAAGGAAGGCTTCACATGATCCAGAGTTGTAGACGGCTTGGCTTTTGCCCACCTCCCAGCCGTCTCTGTCCACATTGCAGTCACACAGTCTGGTCACACCGAATATACTTTAGACCTACAAGCATCCCTGAAGTCTGAACTTTTGTGTGCTGATGAATGTCAGGTGTGGTTGAGCAGCTTTTTCTAGTAGCCATGTACTTATAGATACAAAGGGAGTTCACCTTTTTTTCCCAAATTCTAAGGGTATCTCCAAATTGTATAGATTTCAAACACGATTTGAGTGAGCAGTTGATCCTTGAACAACATAGAGGTTAGTGGTACTGAACCCCCACCCAGTCAGAAATCCACATACAAGTTTTGACTCTCCCAAAACTTACCTACTGAAAGCCTACTGTTGACCAGAAGCTTTACTGAAAACATAGTTGGTTAACATATGTTTTGTATATGTATTGTATACTGTATTATTACAATAAAGTAAGCTAGGGGTAGAAATGTTATTAAGAAAATCATAAGGAAGAGAAAATACATTTACAGGATTGTACTGTATTTATTGAAAAAAAAAAAGTCTCCATGTAAGTGGACCCATGCAGTTCAAACTCATGTTGTTCAAGGGTCAACTGTACTTTGATCAAAATAATATTCTGAAATTGGTAAGCTGTCAACAATTAGCTAAAAATTAATTAAAGATTTCATTAAATTCCAGGCTGCTTGTGAGGGAAACATACAGACCTTACATGTTTCTACACCGAAAGGATCTTCATATTCTGATGATATCTACCAGGAAGACTTTAATGAGTGAGCATTTTATTCTTTGCGTGGGGTCATAATTTAATGGTTGACTTCCCTGTAGGAGGTTTTGAGAGCCATGCTGTTCATCTTTCTCTGCATACAGAGGGCTTGGCTGGGTCACCTCATTTCACCACAGTCCCGCTCTATCTTGGCCCCTCCCTACATGAACAGGGCAGCCTCAGGCACGGAGACGGACATGCAGCCTATGCACCTTTTGTGGCGCTTCCAGAGGGGCAAAATGCATTTCAGTAGAGAGATTGCAAATAAAGCCCCTAAGTACTTAAATACTTAAAAACTGATCAAACCTGTTTAAGGAAGGAGGGGCAGTGAAAATACAGGTGTGCTGTTTATTAATGTTTCACTGTAAAGTCAGTGTAGATAATTGTTCATTGTTCATAATCCCAAGACCACAGAATTAGTGTTGGGAATAAAATTTAGGCTCCTTTTAAAGAAGAAATCCAGATACATATGTTCTTAAAAGAAATGGAAGTTAGAATTCTTCAGCCTTTTGACTTTTGTAAAATTTAATAATCTACTTTCCCGTGTTACATCTATTGGCTCCAATTATTGCTCTAGAAAATTGGAGATTTAAACTTTTAAAGTAGAAAGTCATAAAATGTTAAGCAAATAATGTGTTGTGACCAACATACTCCTTCCTGGTTCTTTGCTGTTATTCTCTGCCATTTCTTTCTTTCTTTCTTCCTTTCTTTCCTTCTTTTTTAAGATTTTATTTATTTGTCAGAGAGCAAGAGAGCACAAGCAGGGGGAGTGGCAGAGGGAGAAGCAGGCTTCCCGCTGAGCGGAGAGCCCGATGTGGGGCTCGATCCCAGGACCCTGGGATCATGACCTGAGCCGAAGGCAGACACTTAACCCACTGAGCCACCCAGGCGCCCCTGTTCTCTCTCATTTCTAGACTTGAATGTACACTACCCGTATTTTGTGTCACCACCTAAATTCTGAAAAGTTACAGTTCAACCTATAACTCTTCTAAGGCTGACTGTCCCTATAGCTGAGTTATAAATGATTCAGTGTAGGATGGTAAATTTTGAAAGTTAGGCTTTTCTTCTGACATTTGTGGGGGAGGGGAGCCCACTTATCAGTTTGTCTGCCAAGCCTGCTTTCCTGCTTTATTTTTTTTTTATACCAAAAATCGGTCTTTATACTTGAATCAAAGAGATCAAATTAAATCTGATTTTATCCTTTAATCAGCTTGTTATAAAAGGGCATTAGCCGATTTAATGGTGGAATCTTTGCGTTTATAGAGAATGTATACTTTTTTCTTTTCTAGACTCCTGCACAAAGTCAGTGAAGAACTGGCTGAGTGGTATTTTCAGGACGGTCGTGCTGTGCTCGCGGCGTGTTGCCAGCTAGCTGTGGATAACACTGAGGTACGCTCCACGGCGGTGAATGTGGATGAGAAGCTCTTAAGATGTGTCATGGTGTGTGGAAAAAATACGGCAACTTCTGTGTGAGATCTGATTGTACATGCTTTCCAAGCCTGAGCTTCCATGCCTCCTAAAAGCACACATAAACTCTAGAGACTATGAGATCTTTTTTTTTTTTCAATTTATTTATTTTTATCACAAGATACACTTTTGTAACAACCTTATTTTAGGTATTTAATCCTATGTGAGAAGCAGTAATGTGGTCAAGGGAAAAATCTCTGGACTGGGACTCAGAATACCTGACTTTTGAAAGCACTTATTTTTAAGTATACTTTAGTATATTCTTCACGAGTTATGTTTTTAAGGTATTTTCCATTTGACCCACTAATCTAATAAGAATGTGAAGTAAAGATGGATTCTATTTTGCATGTATCCTTAGATATAGTATATTTAAGGGATAATTGGTAACCATTGCACACTATTGAAAAAGCTTTTAAGAATTTACATTGTTTTGTGATAGATTGAAGGACATGTTGAGGATATGGCAGAAAGACTGTTATTAATTAATTATAAAAATATTACTAAGGGTTTTAAACTTAAATTCTGACCTTATAAAAATTTCCTGTATGTCCTTTTATCACGAGCTTTTCCACCTGGAAATTGCATTTATACTTATATAAGTACTTTATAGGAATATGACATTCAATATTTTATAAGAATGATTGATTATAGGTTAGTACTACTTTATCTACTTTATGAGCTTGGCGGGGAATGATGATCCAATCCAGCATCTGTGAAACTGAAGGAATTATTTTCTTATTGAGCAAGCTTGCTATGGCGTACCTGATTCGCGGGAATGAGCTAGAGTTGGCCGTGTGTGTGGGCACAGTGCTGGGGGACGCTGCAGCACCCGCGACCCACTATGCCCTGGAATTGTTGGCAAGAAAATGCATGATGACTCCAACATGGTAAGATTTTCTAAATTCAAAGAATGATTCTATAGTGATGGAATACGTTTTTTTTTTAATATCATAAGTTGCAATAGATGTGTGTTGGGAGAATACAGCATCTCCTTTTTTTAAAATAAAAGCAGATTGTGGGAGGAAACCATGCTATGACAAGGAAGTAACAGTGGGAACTACCCTGGTTATATAAGGAAGTCTTCCACGACCGATTCTGACGCAGGGCAGATGGAACTCCGTGATCGTTTAAGCACACAAAACATCATGAGAATAAATGCGCGCTTCTTAAGAGAATCAGGACCACACATTTCCACATTTTAAATTCTACCTCTCTGCCCTCATTCTTGTTGGATCTTGTGTCTTAGTTTAAGGTTTGGAAAATAAAGTCACTTTTCTAATGGAGAGTAGTAACGTGGTTTAGCCGGAGACTTGGAACTGGCCATTTCCCCAAACCCGAGCAGCACGCTAAGAAATTGACCCTGGGAAGGCCCTGTCGCAGCAGTTCTCGTTCCCATCTGCAGCGCCCTGACTTCAGGGCAGGCAGTCCTTCCTTATGGAGCCACTCAGGAGAGAGACGATGCTGAGAGTCAATAGGTGGTTGTTGAATACAGGTGACTTTAGACTTTTATCTTCTCCTTCCCCAAGTACTTAGAACCTCAAGGAGTTTCTAAGTGAACTTGTTTCTCAGGTCCTGCACCTCTTCCCACCTTACGCCCCATGCACATACATACCACTCTTACGGTGGAGCTAGACAGACCCCACTGTTGAATTCTACAGATAATCATAATATTAATAATAAGGACAGTTAACTCACCCTTCTATGCTGCTTACTCTATGCCGTGCACTGTTTTAAGCACTTTACATGTAATAACTCACTAGATAACTATGCTGTTGATACTGATTTGCCTCAGGTCTCAGTCAGTGCTGGAGCCAAGATTCAAGGTTACATAAACTGGCTGCAAAGTTTGCACTTAGCTACTGTCTTAGTTCAGAGTGCGACAACAAAATGTCCCAGACTGGGTGGCTTATAAACAACAGAAATTTGTTTCTCACAGTTCTGGAGGCTGAGAAGGCTAAGGTCAAGATGCTGGAAGATTTGGTGTCTGATGAGAGCTGGCTTCCTGGGTCATCACTGGCCATCTTCTTGCTCTGCTCACTTGTGGAAGGAGCTAGCTAGTTTTTGAGGGCACTAATCCCATTCATGAGGGCTCAGCCCTCAGGACCTAATCACCTCCCAAAGGTCCCACTTCTAAATACCATTATATTGGGGATTAGGTTTCAATATAGGAATTTGGGGGGCAACATAAGCATCCAGTCTCTGGGTCAGCTATCATGCTATCCCACCTCCTTAATCTGTGGCTAAGTCAGCAAAAGAGCAACACTTCCCATTTTCCTTTTCTTTCTGGATCTGAGGGCTTCACAGTGAATCAGGAATCTCAGGGGTTTTATAATTTTTTACCATATCTTATACTCATGATAAGAGCTCCCTCCCCCCAAGCAAGGGCAAAAATGAACTATTGGGATTTCATCAAGATAAAAGGCTTTTACACAGCAAAAGAAACAGTCAACAAAACCAAAAGACACCCAACAGAATGGGAGAACATATTTGCGAATGACATATCAGATAAAGGGCTAGTATCCAAAATCTATAAAGAACTTCTTAAACTCAACACGCAAAGAACAAATGATCCAATCAAGAAATGGGCCGAAGACATGAACAGACATTTTTCCAAAGAAGACGTCCAAATGGCCAACAGACACATGAACCAGTGCTCAACATCTCTCGGCATCAGGGAGATCCAAATCAAAACCTCAATGAGATACCACCTCACACCAGTCAGAATGGCTAAAATTAACAAGTCAGGAAACCACAGATTTTGGCGGAGATGCAGAGAAAGGGGAACCCTCCTACACTGTTGGTGGGAATGCAAGCTGGTGCAGCCACTCTGGAAAACAGTATGGAGGTTCCTCAAAAAGTTGAAAATAGAGCTACCCTACGATCCAGCAATTGTACTACTGGGTATTTACCCCAAAGATACAAATGTAGGGATCCGAAGGGGTATGTGCACCCTGATGTTTATAGCAGCAATGTCCACAATAGCCAAACTGTGGAAGGAGCCAAGATGTCCATCGACAGATGAATGGATAAAGAAGTGGAATATTATGCAGCCATCAAAAGGAATGAGATCTTGCCATTTGCAACGATGTGGATGGAACTGGAGGGTGTTATGCTAAGTGAAATAAATCAATCAGAGAAAGACATGTATCATATGACCTCACTGATATGAGGAATTCTTAATCTCAGGAAACAAATAGGGTTGCTGGAGTGGTGGTGGGGTGGGAGGGATGGGGTGGCTGGGTGATAGACATCGGGGAGGGTATGTGCTATGGTGAGCACTGTGAATTGTACAAGACTGATGAATCACGGATCTGTACTTCTGAAACAAATAATGCAATATATGTTAAGAAAAAAGAAAAGAAGATAGCAGGAGGGGAAGAATGAAGGGGGGGAAATCAGAGGGGGAGATGAACCATGAGAGACGATGGACTCTGAAAAACAAACAGGGTTCTAGAGGGGAGGAGGGTGGGGGGATGGGTTAGCCTGGTGATGGGTATTAAAGAGGGCACGTTCTGCATGGAGCACTGGGTGTTATGCACAATGAATCATGGAACACTACATCAAAAGCTAATGATGTAATGTATGGTGATTAACATAACAATAAAAATTTTTAAAAAAAGAGCTCCCTCCCCCAACCCAAATGTAGTGGCCCCCCCCAATATCAGCCTTAGACTGAAATGTCTTAAATGCCCACCATCCTTAGCGCCCAGTTTTCCTTCTGTCGGGAAGGATGGCAGTCAGTTACCTACTTGCCTTGGACCCATCCCAAAGCATGAGGTTTAACTCAAGATTTATATTCACAAAGGTGACCAACTCCATGCTAAAAGTCATCATCTAATCTAAATAAAATTTGATTAGTTTTTTTTTTAGGTGAGGGTAAAAAGTAGCAAAACAGAAATAGAAATTAAATTTAGTTGAAGTCTAAAAAATCTTTCAACCGACTATATGTCTTAGTTGCTTTTCATATAAAACAGACTTCCATTTCCTTGTAACTGCCCCAAGAAGTTTCCTTTATATATCCATAGATACATGTACCACAAACTAGGATAAAGTTCAAATTCTGAAATATGTGGCGCTGATCAGGTTTATTTCCAGGCAGAATCTCTAATGCTCAGGGTTATTCATAGAGCTCCAGAAATTTAGGTAAAAATAGATAGCTGCACAATTTCGAGACAATGTTCATAACATTTACTGGTAAAAGCTTCCTTCTTCTTGGTTCTCTTTTTTTTTTTTTTAAGATTTTATTTATTTATTTGACAGAGAGAGAGCACAAGTAGGCAGAGTGGCTTCTTGGTTCTCGTTGCATATTATCCGTGGTATTCATATTTAAAATCCTTTTCTTTTTAGCTTTCCATCTGTTGGATACAGGTATTATCTAGTTTTGTAAAAACATTTAATTAAAAAACTCATGTTTTATTTTAGTTTTAGAATATTAACTCTATATTAAGATCATTACCTGTTCTTGCTTCATTGTTTTACAGAATGCTAGTTCATTTATAGAATTTGTAACATATAAAACCTAACTACAAAGTAATAAGAACTGTTCCTGTAGCCTAGATACAAAATCACTCCTGATTTTATACTTAAAACTTGTGTAATAAACAAACTGTGACTTTCTACAGTACAAAATGATAGTTAATAGCTAAGCAAGTGAAAAATGCCTGTTCTGGTAGCAAAATTTAGATTTTAGTTTAGGTTTGTATCATTACAAATATATACATTTCCCCCAATTGGTGAACTGAATTTTCAATAAATAGTAAATTACACTAAAGAGTGAATAAAATTAGCTAGCATTGTTGTAAATTTCAGCGTATCAGGATATAATTCTACAGTGAGAAAGTCAGGTTTTTGTCTGTAGTTTATAGAAGTTTGAATAGAATTTTAGCACAGCTATTTTATGCACTATAAAAGCAAATGGTAATTTCTATATTCTCACGGACATAATTGAATACTGCTATTAAATGTTGGTATCAGAATATAGTTATTTAAACCTTTTAGCAAGAACAGATGAATTACCCTAATTTGAGACTTGTAAAAACACTCAAAGATTTACCTGCTCTGTGATGATAGACCATTTGACACACACAAGTTGTCTCTATTCCTGTTCTATGCCCATGATATTCTTGATTAAATATCTCTTAATGTTTTTAAAATAATTATTCACATAAATGACCAACATACATTTTACCGAAGGCTTCACAATGAAGGTGACGGAGGATTTTACTCTCAGAAGTCAGCCCTTCAGAAATTCACATTTGAAATATTGTCTATTCTCAAGTTGTGCTGTACGTGTCATATATCAGTTTCTTGAAAATAGAATAATTTCCCGAACCATTCAAAATTAGTGTTTTCTCAGTTATGATGTATGCAACCAAAAACTCTTTACCTAGTGATTTTTAAAAAGTAGTATACAAAATATTTTTAACATAAAGCTGTTAAGTCCATACAATACTTTAAAATACCTTATTTTTTTAAGTGATTTATTCCATTTATTGAATTTTTAAAAAGTAAATCAGAAAATTGCATTTCTATCTTTGATTTCCACCTGAAGTTTAGGAGAGATGCAGAAAATCCAAAATTCTAAACTTAAAACATCTAAGTATTCTGTCGGTTTTAAGGAGCTGGCTAATCCAGCTGCAGCTGGCTAGCATAACTAAAGCTGATGAGAATTAGTTTTCACAAAGTTTGCTTTATAATTCACTCCAAAGAATATATCTAATACTACTTAGTTTGGTTAGAGAATTATTCTGTAATAACAAAATTAATTGCAAATATATAAAGATTGATTTTGATTTTTAAAAGATTATAGAAATTTCATAATCCATTTATCCTTCATGCTCTTCGGTTTCTGTGATCTACATTTAGAAGACTTTCATAATTAGGTAGGAAATTAGTACTGTTTATATAAGTAGAAAATCGAGGGAGGTGGTAGAGTTTTCTTCCTTTGAAATAGTTCTAAATGTTATTTTTAGATTTTTTTCCTAAATTGAAGTTTCCCCTTTTGTTATGTGCATAGGAACCTGGCAGCTGATCTTCTCCTGATGATTCCTGATAATGAACTGCAGTTAGTTAAACTCTGTGCTTTCTACCCAGGGTGTACTGAAGAGATAAATGATCTTCATGAAAAGGTACGCGAAGGATATTACATACTCCAGTTTGGAATGCAGTGCTGTGATTTAACTAATTTTAGGTTCGGGCACATAGAGATTCAGGCAGAGAAACAAACATATCCCTTTCTCACCCTTTTATAAATATAACAGAAATGATGACAATACGCAACATTTGTTGAGCTTCTATATGCTTGGAATAGTTCTAGATTTTCACATAGATTTGCGTTTTACTCAACTCTCATGAAACCCTGAAAAGCAGGGGATATTGTTCATATTTAACAAAGAAAGTGAGCTCAGAGAAGGTAAGGAACTGCCCTCAGTTAAAGGTGGAGGGTGAATTTCAGCTTCAGCATGTCTGCCTCCACGTCCCAAGCCCTTCCCACTCTGCCGCTCTGCATTGTAAGGAACATGTATGCTAACTTTCTAAAAATAGGCAACTTAGGATCCTTAAAAGAGTTAATGAGGTATAATGAAATTCACATGCATTACTCTAAAGCGCCTTAAAGAATTATTCCTTTGAGGAATATAGGAAGTTACGTACCAAGATCATATATAAAAACAACCAAAATATTCAATAATCGGAAGATTGTTTATGTAAATTGCAGTACATTTCTGTATTTCAGTGCTTTTAATCCATTAAAAAGATCATGAAGCTCTGTTTTTATTGACATTGGTAGATGGCTGTAAAACAGTTATATAAAAAAGCAGAATATGAAATATGCACGTGCCATGTGATTTTCATTTTGAAAATAACTGTGTACATATTTCTTATTTATAGCATATTTATTAACATAACAATAAAAAATTAAAGAAAAAAAGAAAAATGTAAGATATAATAAAACATTTTCTTATCTTTAACTCCAAAAAACGATGTTTTGTTTCACTTACGTGACCCTTGATTTGTCCCCAGGGGCTGAGTGGGAATGGGGATATCCATCAATGGATACTTACTAAGTATTATGCTAGTACAAATAGACCAGGAGTATGCGTGAGTGTGTGTGAGTGTGAGCATATGTGTGTGAGCGTGAGTGTGTGTGTGACTGGGAGTGAGCATGTGTGTGAGAGCGTGTGTGTGAGTGTGAGCGTGTGTGTGGGGCATGTGTGTGACTGTGAGCATGCGTGTGTGAGCGTGTGTGTGTGTGAGCATGTGTGTGTGAGCGTGTGTGGGCATGTGTGTGACTGAGCATGTGTGTGTGTGAGCGTATGTGACTGTGTGTGAGCATGTGTGTGTGAGCGTGTGTGTGACTGTGAGCGTGTGTGTGAGCGTGTGTGTGTATGTGAGCGTATGTGTGACTGAGCGTGTGTGTGAGCGTGTGTGTGTGAGCGTATGTGTGACTGTGTGTGTGAGCATATGTGAGTGTGTGTTGTGAGCGTGTGTGTGTGTGAGAGTGGATGGGTAGGTGGGTGTGTGAGCGTGTGTGTGAGTGTGTGTGTGAGCGACTGAGTGTGTGATACCAGGGGAAATACTTGTGGAAGGATAAATGTGCACAGTGACCAGGGGGTTCTGAGATTTTGGGTGATTTAACTTCTTTTTACACTTTGTATTCTGTGAATTGTTTTTTAAATGAGCCGCACTTGCTTTTACAAACATGACAGATAAAAGCGATTTCCATGTTGAAATTAAAATAGGGAAGGAAGTAGGAACTGTACATTTGCCACATAGTGCCTTTTTTTAAGTTCTATTTATTGATATGAGAAAGAGAGAGAGAGCAGGAGCAGGGGAAGAAGAGGGAGAGGGGGAGGGCGAGAGAGAGGGCGAAGCCGGCTCCCCGCTGAGTGCAGAGCCCTCTCTGCCAGGCTCAGTCCCAGGACCCTGGGACCAAGGACCCAAGCCGAGGTCCGCCACGTAACCCACTGAGCCACCCAGGCACCCTGCCTAATGCTTTAAGTGTAACCCACATACCTTCTGAGGTGAGAACAGCAGGCGCTAATATTGGGGCTTAGAGAGGCAAAATATCTGTGTTTGCACCCTGGTAATGACGTGGGTAGGATGGCATTTACATAGTGTTTTCGTCACATGTTCTAAAAGGATGTCATCAGGGGCGCCTGGGTGGCTCAGTTGGTTAAGCGGCTGCCTTCGGCTCAGGTCATGATCCTGGAGTCCCTGGATCAAGTCCCACATCGGGCTCCCTGCTCGGCAGGGAGTCTGCTTCTCCCTCTGACCCTCTTCCCTCTCTCGTGCTATCTCTCATTCTCTCTCTCTCAAATAAATAAATAAAATCTTAAAAAAAAATAAATAAAAGGATGTCATCAGACCTTCTGGTCAGACTTCATTAATAACTCTTAGACAGACTAGTCAGTGTGTGTAAAGGCGTTACTACCTCTGGACAACTTCACAAGTAATGCTAAAATTATATTTTCAAATATTATATTAATTTATATAACTTGGAATTTTAAGGTAGGACAGAAATGACAGGAATGATCATCTTACTCTTCTTATATTTTATTTGAGAATAAGATTTCAACAGAAACCATTTTTGTATTTCCTTTACTCTTTGAGCATATATCAAAGTGAAGAAACTTTATTTTATCTAGCCAGGCCGAGTACCTAGCACATAGTAGTTGCTCAGTAAGTAACTGGCATTTAGTAAATGAAGATGGGGAAGCAATGTGAAATGTTATATGTATGAAAGCTCTCTTAATTTAGTTTGTTGTAATTTTTTAAGAGAGAGAGAGAGATCGAGGAATCTAAAATGTTCAGTTTACCATTCCATTCATCACCCAACAAGAGCACTCCTTAGTCCCTATCACCTACTTCTCCCATCCCCCCACCCACTTTAAATCACAGAAGTTATGAAACTCTTGAATAAATGCATTGATAAATAGGTCGAATAAACCATCTTAGTGACTTGAGGGGACGTAAAGGGAAAGTACGAAGGGAAGAGATTGACGAATCTCAAAGGCAAGCAGACAGACAGCCTTCAGAGATTGAACTGCGGCATGTGGAGTCACAACACAGAGTCCTCTCTGCAGTGGGAGCACCTTCTCCACGGTTGCCGAAGACCAGCGAGCCGAAGCGTTCAACTATTTATAGGTGTTGCTTAGAAACAAACCAGCAGACTTAACACTTCCACTTCAAACATCGTGAACGCATCAGATTTGGATATAAACGATACCTTAATTCATGCCTACATTATGGAAGCAGAAGAACTTACCTTACAGAGGAGCAGACTCTCTGAACAGGAAAAAAAAATATTTGGAAAAAATAGGGAGTATTGCTTTGTATTTTACAGTGACGAAATCTCATAGGCTCAAAATCTCCATTTTGTGGCATTTCAGAATGTCCGAGCTAAAAACTTTGAGGGCTTGTATGTGTTTTGCCTTCCTGCTTGAAATGACGTGGCTTTGTCTCAAAGGCCAAGTGAAATTAAACTCCAGAGCATGGAGGCCGGGGAAGGGTGTATCGTTGATGTTTTCTACATTTAACGTCCTTTCTGGCGTCAATCCGTATATCTTGAAACAACAAATCTCAGCAGTTCTTTTCTGAATTACATGCATGGATACTAATTCCGATATCACAGTCAGGACGGTTTTGTTCTACCTCTTTTATTAGGTATTTATGTGGTGAAAAACTTTTAACTCACTTTTAACTCATTTAACTAATACCCTATTTAGTATTAGATCCTAAGGATATTTTCATAAATGTATGCTTTTAATACAAATTATTTCATTTATATCCATTTTGAGCGATTTAGTATAAAGAAAAACATACTCGACATATTGGAAATGTGTAGTACTTATACTGCTGCTCTTATCCCTGTAAATTTTAGTAACGTCATCAAAACCAATTACTTTTCAGTGCAAGCTACCCACGGTAGAGGAATGTATGCAGTTAGCAGAGACAGCCCAGGCAGATGGTAATATATTTGAAACTGTGAAGTATTATTTGTTAAGTCAGGAACCTGAAAAAGCCCTTCCTATTGGTATTGATTACATCAAAGGTAAGTTTTTATTTGGTAGTATAATCTAAAATCTCATTTATTTGATCTTTTCATTAATATTGATAACCTTAAAATCAAGCACTGGCCATCCTAATTTTTTTTATTATGTTAGTCAACATACAGTACATCATTAGTTTTTGATGTGTAGTGATCCACGATTCATTGTTTGCGTATAACACCCAGTGCTCCATGCAGTACGTGCCCTCCTTAATACCCATCACTGGACTAAATATAAAAAATAAAGAGATTGGTGATTGTACTGTATGGTATGGGAACTTGAGAGAGGGTAAATATGAAAATACTTGTGACCTAGAAAATAAGGAGGTAGCTGGGATTGACCAGAAGAGAATTACATAAGTTAAAAATTGGATGAACATGTTTTAATACTTAGAGAGAATCTCTTATTTTGTTTTATTTTGCCAGAATACATCACTAGTTCAAATTGGACATTGGATACCATTTATCCTGTTCTTGACCTGTTGAGTTATATTCGTACTGAAATATTAGTCTTGCATACATGTACTAAGTGAGTACTTTTTCTTCAAAATATGTAACTGAACCTATGTGATCTTTTAAAATGGTTATATTGTTTTTAGTGTTCAGATCATGAAATAAGATCATCTTGGACAGGTAGATGCCCTTGTAGAAAAATTACATTTTTATTTGCTATTCTTTTTTTTAAAGATTTATTTATTTTAGAGGGAGAGGGTGGAGAGGGGGAGAGGAAGAGGGAGAGAGAGAATCTCAAGCAGACTGTGGGCTGAGCTCAGAGCCCAACTTGGGGCTCAATCTCAGGACCCTGAGATCATGACTTGAGCCGAAACCGAGTTGGACGCTTAACCTACTGAGCTACCTAGGTGCCCCTTTATTTACTATTCTTAAGAAAAAATACAGAGGTCAATTTGAAACAGAAATAGTCTTAGTGGTTCTGTTTACTAATACCCAGAGTGTGTATGTTTATATATGTGTTTGTACACACGCACGTACGCACGCACACACACTCTCTCTCTCACACACACACGCACACACACACACTCTCTCTCTCTCCCCTACCTGGCTCAAACGGGGCTAATTCAAAGCTTTGGGGTAGTCTTAGTCCTCAAGAAGCTAGTAGTGGTCGTATCTATTAAATAGCCACTGTGTGCAAAAAAGCGAACGAGGCTGGGGAAAAAAGTGACGGTGCTAGAAAGTGAAAAACAGACACCATCCCTGCATTCAAGTATAATTTAAGGACAATGTTGTCCATAGAATGAAAAGTCCCCAGACACTGTGTGTAGTTTGTAATGGAGGCTTTGGGCTATTTTTGCTTTAATGGTGTGTGTGGAAAAGATGATGCCACAGCCTGGGAAAGTTTCCCTAGCAGGAAGTGGAGTGGGTATGCTCTGTCCTTTCCTAGAGTCTATACAATATGCCAGGAATTCCTAGATTGGGCTTAATGAGTTACTTAGAGAAAAATTTACATGAAGAAACAGTCAAGGAATAGAGAAAAACAAGAAGGCAAGAGTTAAACATTATTTGTGGTATAGCATAAATATGTGAATAGGAGTTAACTTATGAGTAAAACATCTTCAATTTGGAAAATTTTCTAAACGTATTTTGCTATGTCACTCATCAAAATATAGAGATACAAGTTCAGTAACTACATGTGTAACGTTCTAGACCTCAAGTTATAGAATTAAAAAAATAAATATGTTCTCTTTTAGAGCTCGAAATGAATTGCTCATATTATGTGGTTATATTGGTGCATTATTGGCTATCAGAAGACAGTACCAAAGCATTGTTCCAGCACTTTATGAGTACACAAGGTAAAACCGATTTCTCTTCTGTTACGAAATTTGAGAAATTCCTTTCACTAAGATAGTCTCTAAGTGTATCCTAGAAGGCACCAAATACATATTGTATGCATCCATTGATTCATTCAGCCTATCCTTTATAATAAAGCAGTGATAAACTATAGGAATTAGAAGTGAATTAGGATATAAATAATAGAAATCCTAATTCTGGCTTAAACACATGGGGTTTCTTGGTCTTATGTCAAGACACCTGGTCGGCATTCCAGGGCTGTTAGAGCTGTGCACGGAGTCCATCCAGGACCTGAATTCTTCCCTTCTGTTGACACTGACCTCCTTGGCTTCCTTCCACTTGCTTGAGGAACCCAGGGTGACAGGGTCTGCATTCTAAGCAGGAAGCAGAGAAGGGTGACAGGGACCCCAAAGCATGAGGCATCCGACTCGGGAAGGAGAGGCCCCCTTGGGTTATATGCCCGCATCCCTTCAGCCAGAACTGTGGAACCCTGTTTTTAGAAGAAGCGGAGAAACTGCGTATTTTAGCTTTCCGATCTCTAGGGTAGGAAAAGGCAAAGAGGATTTGTGGACAGCGGGTAACTCACTACTTCAGAGTCATGCCTGACCGTTCTGCCAAACCCTTCTGTTTTCTATCAGCTTGCTATCTTCAGCCATTGTGCTTAAAACTAGTTACAGTCAGAAAGAAAATCCACAGCACCTTCGCAAAACATCATTTCCAAGTTGACTAGTTGGCTACACGGCAGAGTAGCTGACTCCTAAAAATACTGAGAGTCTGTGGGTAAAAGCAGTCTCTCGGAGTGCCCTTCACGCGGGGCAGACGTTCTGAGAGAAAGCTTCCTCCCACCTCCTTTCCCTTCCCTGTCTCGGCGACGGTCCCTGTCGGTGTGGGCTGCCACCCGGAGCGGGCTGAGGGACAGTGCGGAGTGACACTGCCGGGAAACTAAAGGAAAAATCAGTTTCTGTGCAGGCAGCAGACCCAGATTCGAAGGCAACGTTTAACAATATTACAATATCTTACGGGAGCAATGGCATGTACCACATGGAATGAAAATATTATTTAATCAAATATGTTCCATTTATATATGACTTGGGTAATGAAAGGAGAGAGAAAATGGTCCCTTGAAATCATATCCGAACTAAAAGGAGGCCTTTCCATGTGAGGCGGGAGAGACTTGGGAGAGTGTGTCTCAACATGCCGGTTTAGAAGGAGAAATTGAGAAGGCCCCAGTTGGAAGGAACGTCTCACTTGCTTGGTTATGGCGTCCGCTGTCTTGTGCCCACGCTGAGCCCCCAGGGCTTTTCTCTTTGGCCCTCTTCTTCCTCCCTTCCCAGCTCGCTCTCCGGCTCTCCCTCCACCCTTTTTCCCCTCAGTTCTCTGCCCTTAGAAACCTCCCCATTTCTGGGGCTCCCCCCGCCCCGTCACCTCCATGGTGGTTTTTATAGTCATGCGTTGTTTCTGTGGCTCACACACTGGCCTCAACTCTGTGTGCTCAACGTGAAAATCCTCTTCCTCCTCAAATCTGCTGCTTCTCCTGTGTTCTCTCTCTCTTTGGATCGTGTCATTGTGTTTCTCTTGCCCAGAAGTACATGATCAGGTCCTGATTGTTTTCTCTGACCGCCATAGTTGGGGTCTGCAGTAACTCCCTCCTGCCGCAGCGCTGCGTCTGCTCACCCGATCTCTGCATCTCTTCTTCTCCCGCTGCATCCCCTTCCTGCTGTGGCATCCGCCTGCCCAGAAGCACCCCCCTTCCTCGGTACCCTCCGGACTCCCCACTGTCCATCACAGAGCTTCCAGATCCTTAGTCTTACGTTAAAGGTCTGCAAACATAGGGTTCTGACCGTGTGTCCCATTGCCGCCTTCTCTGTCCCCACTCCGGCCAAACTGAACTACTTGTGATCCCGCACATATGGAAGCTGTCCCTGATAGTCTCTCAGTGTCCCCTCCACCTATTTACCTTGGATTTCCTCCTCACTTTTTGTCACTGCTTTATATATAGTAGATCATCTTTAACTACTGGACAGATAAAGTCCTATCAAGTGCACATTTGTAGACAGGGAAGCCAGGGGGTTTAAGGAATTCATTTTGGAGCTAGCCACGTTGTCAATCAAAATTTTAAGTTCAGTAATTTGGGGTAAAAGAAAATGATAAGCCACTAGCCAATTTCAGTTAATATTACTACAGTGTTAGACCTGTGTGTGTGTGTGTGTGTGTGTGTGTAGGGGGAGATTTATACCTTTTTCCTCACCAAGTGTTATCGTGGCCCAACAGATGACAATTAGCAGGAGTCATCATAAAATGTACGTTACAGAACGGTTTACTTAACCCTTACTTCATCTCTAAGGTCTTACGTTCTGTTTCTATCTCCCAAACAGCTTTTACTTTTAAATTTCAGCTAACTAGTTCCTTGGAAAACACTGAGTTTGTAACTTATTATAGAAACTAGGACTGGTTATTCTTTATCTAAAGCTTCCTAATTAATACTAATTATCTCTTTTCCAGTTTTCTCTACACAGATGTGATGGATCACTGATGTCACTGTTTTACTGCTTTTTCTCACACATCTCTGTCTTTAAAGAATTGAAGTCAGCATTTCCGTTCCTTTGCACTAGTTGACATTCTTCTCTTGCTGTGTTCCCACTTAATCTCTTATTCCTCTAATACTCATTTCTAATTCAGCCCTGCGTTGTACCATACAGTAGTCATGTGGGGCTATTATACACTGTTGCTTGGCTCGTCTGTCCATTTGCCACCATTCGCTTGTTCCTCCATTTGTTTGTTTACTTACTTATTTGCTAGTTTTCCATTTTATTTTTTTAAGTTTCTATTTAAACTCCAGTTAACATTCAGTGTAATATTAGTGTCGTGTACAATGTAATGATTCAGCACTTCCATACATCACCCCGTGCTCATCATGACAAGTGCACTCCTTCATCCCCATCTCCTATTTAACCCATTTCCCCCAACACCTCCCTTGCAGTTCATTCATTGGTCTGCTCACTCAGACCGTCATCCAGCTGATATTTACTGAACATCTTTGACTTCAGGGAACTTAAAGGCCAGATTTACAAGTAAGCGTGCGCGTGCGCACACACACACACACATTCATGTATACACATATGTTTTTGAACAGTAGTTGTTAAATCTGAAATTGCAGTTATTTAAAGCTCATTTGCTTTTTTGATATTGTAGTCTTGGATGTCAGATGTTAATTTCTTTTTCACATGTTTCAGCCAGCTATTAAAACATCGGGTGGTGTCAGTGCCTTTAAAAATTGAGCACCTTTCTGAGGAGTTGGATGCGTGGAGAGCTTGCACGCAATCCGTCAGCCGGTGAGTGAAGATGATGTGAAAATTGGAATGTGGAAGTAGTACTTAATATTATAGGAAAACTTGTTGAAAATGTGGATTGGCTCACTATTAATCTTAGCCAAATAATGCATCTTGGTTTGCTTAGCATAGATTCAATAATAATTTACAATCCTGTTCTTTTCTGCCTTTTTAAAGTCCTTCATTTTACTATAACTTAAGTCTAAGTTGCCATCATTTCTAAATAGGGACTAAATAATCCTCAGGGACTGAGGATTTCTGATTTAAATCTTAATAATTCTTTAGTTCTGCAAAAATGAAAATGTAACATCTGTTGAAAATATAGATCATCAGAAGAGTCTGCATATACGCCCCCTTCTGATTCACAAAAGATGGTTTATGCAACTTTACTAAAGAGACTACAGCAAGAACCACTCGGAGGAATTGTTGGACCAGATTACGTGACTGGATCAAACCTGCCCAGTCATTCTGACATCCACATCTCTTGTCTTACGGGATTAAAAATCCAGGTATAGCCTAATGTAAGGCATAAATTGTTCATTTCCATTGTTTTCACTTGTTTCATTATTTTTAAAAATATGGTCTTAAAATAAGCATAATCTGAATAAAAGTAGGTACCTATAAAGAGGACTCTTGCCTAGTGAGAAAATACTGCCCTTAATGCTCTATAGTTAGTATAAATGGTCTCTCTGTCCTTAAAATAAATTCAGAGAGATGGTCATGGTATTATTATCATGAAAGCAATTCATGTAATAGGTATACTTAGTAACAAATGTTAAAAATACATGTAGATCATATCCTTAGGGAAATTAAATAGGGGAGGACAAAGCAACAGTCAACACAGTTATAAATTATCATATTGCAATAGATTAAAATTAACTTTGTAGTCTCCATTTGTATTTTATAAACACAAAGAAATTAAGAACTGGCATATGTATATTAATGATACACATGTTGTTACATTGACTTACTGAATTTTTCAGCAATTACAAATTATTGGGATCGATCACGAGGGAGGGCTAATCCCTAAGGAAGGTCCCTAGTGTACAGTCAAAGGTAATGGTGGGGAATGATTCCTCCCAGTGCCCCACTTCTGGGGAAAGTGGAGACGTCTTCATGGTCTCAGAGCTGGGCCAGGTGGAGGTGTCCACACGGAGCAAACAAGCTGAGTCCACATAGACTGCAGATTGAAGCTCCAGTCTGGACTGAAAGAACACCACTTCCCAGAAAAATGTTCACATTTTACACAGTGGATTCTTCTGTTTCTAGTGGAATGTGACTAATTACATCTCTAATACTGATATGCCAGGCCAATGGGGACAGCTATTTTTGGGGATAACCACGTGAAGTAAATTAAATAGCTTGCTGCTTACGTAAACCCTCACCATAGCTTGACTTGAGACTATCAACTAATTATGTCTTCAGAATATGCTAATATAGTCCAAAAAACAGGACACTTAGTTGTGTGCATGCTTTTTTATCCACTTATATTCAGAGATAAAGAATCAAAGCAGTAAATTCAGTAACTTATAATTAAGAGCAAAAAACATCAATTTTTAGAATATATCTTCAGCTACTCGCTGCCCTCCCTGTGCCCTACCTAGTGCTTCCTTCGTATTCCTAGCGCACCTTCCTGTTTCTCTTCCTTCGTATTCCTAGCACACCTTCCTGTTTCTCTTCCTTCGTATTCCTAGCGCACCTTCCTGTTTCTTTTCCTTCGTATTCCTAGCGCACCTTCCTGTTTCTCTTCCTTCGTATTCCTGCTGCACCTTCCTGTTTCTCTTCCCCTCTTCAGGTTCTTTTTCCCCATTCCATCTGCAGTAGCCAAATGACCTTGCAGATATGCTGCCTCACCTCTCTGCACCCAAACCTATAATCGGAAAGGACCTACTAATTATCAGCTAGGACTAATGTAAATGGGGTGCTTCCCTCTCAGGATCTTTCTCTCTCAACAGAAAATTAATGTTCTGGTTTTAACTGTGAAATATCAAGTATCTTTGAGTAGGAAGCAGTCCACTTCATATGATGGGTTTTCCAATGTCTAGACATGATTTAGTAACAACAAGCTGTATCATTTGAAATTGTGATTAAAAATCTGGTAACTTTAGAAAATAATTAAGAAGATTAGTTTTTAGTTCATTTTGTGTTTTTGAAATCATGCTTTTCTTTCCTTTTTCTTTCTGAGAGCTTGGGAGAAATAGATTAAAAGGTTTTTTTTTGCATTTGGTTCTTCAGAACCACCCTTGACATGCAAAGTACCTGATATAACTGAATCATAAATATGCTAGTACATCATATGATTGACATGATTTTAAATTATGTATACACATACACAGCAATATACTTTTCAATTCTTGAGAGCAGTTTCGGAGCTTCTGGCTTAAATGATTTCCCCAGCTGTATTGATGTAGGCTATATGAGTAAAATAGTAAAGTGTATTTAAATCTAGGCTGGGCATATATATGCCTTTATAAAATGTTAATTTAGTATTAATTAATGGATTAGCAATACCTTTGTCATTGGTAGCACTACTATATTCAAAGAATTCAGATTATAAAACCAAATTTTATTTTGAAAGACATGGGGGCATAGTGTTAAGATATTTAAAATTTTTTCTATATTTGGAGCGGTTAAAAAATCTGATTGTTCTCATATTTTAAAATTTTCTATTAGCATTGTCTGAATACTGCCAGTGTTTTTTTTGTTTGTTCTGTTTTGTTTTTTAATTAAAGGGAGTCTGTTTCTGGAAGTTTAAAGCATGTTGCACATTTATAATCCCATCTTCTCTCTCCTCAACTCTGTGTACAGGGCCCTGTATTTTTCCTTGAAGATGGGAAATCCACTATCTCATTGAATGACGCTTTGATGTGGGCAAAGGTGAACCCATTCTCACCTTTAGGGACTGGAATACGACTCAACCCATTTTGACAGAAAGTTTTTCTCCTTGTTTAATTGTTTTTTTTAAAGACCTTTTGTGGGTTAGTATTACCTTAGCCTTTGTTGTCCAAGAGCCAAAGGTTGAAGGAAGCTGGGGAGGTGGGGAATAAGGGTTGACTCTATAAATTATCTTCAAAAAATAAAATATTTATATAATTTCAAGGAAAAATAGATGTGTCCTTTATAAAATAGAATAGCCATATTTGGGAGAAAGATAATATTTAAGTTATAAAAGACTGAAAAATCTAAAAGAGCATATATAAGTTTCACAAAGGTACCAGAATTTCATAAAAGGTACCAAAATATTATATTGTTGAAACATTGAAACATATAAAATAATGCAATACCTACAATAGTGCTTGACATAGAGTAAGTACTTAATAAATATTGGAATGACCAAGTGTCTTGAGATATCAAAATATAGGGTATGTGTAACTGATCTTCAAGTTAACAAACACCCATACTGTCCTCTATAAAATATATCGTAAACCAGTAGTTTCAGTTCATATTTAATAAAAGTTTCCAGTTATGAGTTTGATATGTATCAATAAATGGATACATAGTCAAAATACTTTTGAGTTTTATTTTTTTTTAAAAGAAAGCATTACCAAGTTTTTTAACTGAAATTAAATGTCCAATTATAAAGGAATAGGTTTTATAAGCATAATAAAAATTGAGGAGTAAAAAACACAAATGCAGTTAAATCTGTATGAGAATTTACATTTGATGATAATTGACTATTTTAAAAGATATTTGGTATGTATGGATATTAGTTTTGATTAATGCATTTAATATTTACAGTAATTCCTAATTGACTTATATTAACTCTATAACAATTTATTTGATAAAATTAGATTCAAATAAATTTCTATAAGTATATATTAGTTGAAATGTGGGGTATATTATAAATTCAAGTTTTTTAAATATTAATTAAAGAGTAAAACTATTAAAAAAAAAAAGCCTGAGGCATGACTGCAAGTATTCCAGTTGTACTAGAATTCTGACTTTGAGGTCTATGAAATTAATGCATTAGTGGGAAGAACAGCACTTTGATACTCAAGGTCTTCTACAGAATTTATAATATAGATGTTTTTGTCTAAAGAGTGAGTTCATATAATTAGAATAATGGTGGTTTTTATTATCTTTAAACTTGTTACATTTAAAATAATTTTAAATTTTTCTTAAACAAGCTTCTTAAAACAGAAAACAATATATATTATGTATATATCTATTGCATTGACCAGTTCTAACTCTCAAAAAGGCCTCAATTCTATTTTATAAAAAAAAATTTAATGAACATTACAGAAGAGAATATATGTGACACATCACTAGTGTGAAGTATTTTTTTAATCCTTAGTGATATGCATAACTCAAATTTTTTTAGATGAGGCATATTTTTAATTGGCATATATGTAGTAAAATCTTTTCACTTAAAAATAGCAGTTGAAATCCTACTATAATTCTCTATTTTGTTTTAAAATAGATTAAGAAGCCTATCTTTTGTGCTTTAGCTACTTTAAAAGATCCATTGAGTGTAAGTTATACATATATAAATGATTGTCTCCTTCTTCTTCATTTCAAATGAAGGAAAATGATATTTTCTACATAAACTATGAAGAAATCACATAACTCTTTAGCACATGAAGATAATAGACAAGTAAGCCAATTTGTGTCTAAAATCTAAATTGGACAGATTCAAATACAATTCTGTTACTCTGACTTCTACAGTGTTCTATACCTTATTATTAATTATAACTATTAATTCTTCATAGAACTATAAGTGTCATTTCACCATGTCAGTCTGCATCTGTTGTGCCTTAATATGAAAAACAAAGCAATTTTTTGAATTTATAAAAGGTTTTCCATTGTTAGATTTCATATGCATGAAAACCCAAATAAATAATATGAACTTATTTTACTACTAGAAGATGTCTATATTACTGATAATGTGGACAAATTATTTTCCAAGTTTAAATACGCTTTTATGAAAGAAGTCTCATTAGACAATGGTTTTAATAGCATTGGAAAAATATTTTTGCCTATAAAAATTACCAGGTCATTAACAAAATCTCAACATCAAAATGAGTTCTATCTTGTGAAAATATTATTTTTATGTCAATCAAAATTTATATATATTTCCATGACATCATCCAGAGGTGTTCAGGAACATGGTCGCATTAAAACAATGACTTGTATTTTGTTGTCCTTATAATAGGAAAATTGACACTTTTTCAGTCTTAGGTCAAAAGGCATTCTGAATATAGTAAAGGCCTCACCAATTGTTTGTAAAGTTTAGGGTTTCTTATTTAGTGTAGCAGTAATACAGAAGATATCCTCATAGTCAACTCTTAAGATTTTATTGTACCATATCTTTGAAACATTTATTCTTAAATAATTGATAAAAGTACTTTTATGCTAAATTTAAAAATCATAGGACGCTTAATATGGCATGTAGTTTTCTAGATTTTTATGTATATATGTATGAATGTATTTCAGGTCCTCTAAATTTCAGTAAATACTGCATTAAAACCAGATATGACAGAGTTAACTGCTAAAATGAGCATCAGTATTGTCCCCCAAACCACCACTGAGAGAACACTGTTTCTCCATAAATGCTGGTTCCGAGTCATCAGAGAGGTGAAGGGCTGAGCTGCCCATATGGGTTATTACCTTATTTGGAAACCTAGAAAAACCACTTTGGACTGTTCAGGAAGTTAATTCTCCACCCATAAGAAACACTGACTACAACAAACCCTAAAATTACTATAAAAGGGGGAAAATCTTCACTAATGAATACAAACCGCATATCACAGAGGCTTCCATTCCTTGATAAGCATTCTGCCAACTGATAGAAGACTCTCCTAGAGGAACTGCTGTAGCTCCTAGAAAAGCTCCTTGCTTCCTCCTGCCAAAGCTTTGTGAAGCAAATGGCCTTCCGAAGATACCTGCAGTGTTGGCCTCTCTCAATACAGCTCATCTTCAAGAAGCTCTTGAAGTTGCTACTTTGACTATGCCTGCTACCTTCATTTACTTACTCACTATGAAATGAAACCTATAAAACGTTCATATTTTCCACAGCTCTCCATAGGCCCCACGGGAGTCTTGGGAACTTACCATAGTCAGGCCATGAGTGATTAGCTTTTTCAGGAGATTGAACATACAGTCAAGAGAAGTATAAAGAAACTTTTTATATGACTGTTTACCCAAATCTAATCCTCTCTGGATCTTTTCCCCAGCCAAGGTTCAGAAGACTTGTTTCTATAACCCTTTCCTAAGGAACTATATTTTATGGGTTGAAAATTATTCTCATAGTTTTCTACTTTAAATTTGTCCCATTAGAATGCAAGGTTCACAGATAAATAACCTATAGCTGGTTAGGATATGCATTTAAAGTATACCGTACTCAGATAAAACTAGATTTTAAACACACTCACTCCCAAGAAGTAATCCTATTTCATCAGGGCTCTCTTTACTTTCTTTTACTAAATATTACCTGCCAAAAATGTGAAATTAAACTGGGAGGTGTCTGGAGATAGAAATTCTAATAAAGCCAAGCCTTCAAAAACACAGAACAATTGACAAGAGTTTAGCTGGAAATTGACAGGCATGTCCTGGGATTCAGCGTTCCTAATACTCATTCTCGGAAGTTGCAAATGAGACTGTTAATGAGAGAGCATAAAGACATGAAAAATTCCAGTTGAAGAAAAATTTCCAAATGTGAATGTAAAATTATAAGAATGTATGAAAGATAATTAGTCTTTCAAGATATCAGCTTGCTTTGGTTTCCCTCCAGTGAAATTATGGGGAGTGGAAGCAACGAGTAGAAAATGTTTAATTGAACTGAATGGCTTGCTAAACCCCAGAACCAAATTCCAAGTGAAGCACAATTTTCCTTTCCCACAACTCTATCAACAGGAGGGACACCTATTTTTTTAAAAATGTTTCAAGTCAGGCTATTTATGGGGGTGGACAAGGTTCTCTGTGGGCCAATGTATAATTAAAAATCATTCAGAATAAATATTTTTATGAATGCATGTGATGTGTTAGCTCTTTTCATTTCTAATGAGGAAAATGTATTACAAAAACGTAGATTCACCATTCCTACGGAATTTATGAGAAATAACTTTGACTTGTCATGGTGAGTTATGTTTAACTGTACCTTTAAAATGATTCTTGCTCGTTCTGTGTTATTTGATTTTGTATTTTTAACAGTAACTGGCACAGGTGTTTAATAAATGGTTGTTGAATTGAAAAAGCATGTTCTTCAGCCCAATTATGGATGAGACACCACTTTAATTTACTTATATATCCAAGCCTAGGTAATTCTATCCGCTTAGTATGGCAGGAGATGGGGCATCGCTTCTTCAAAGCCATTAGACGGGTGCTTTTCAGGCTTACTTTTCCTTGTTTCTGATAGGTTTCCTAGCAGATTCAAAAGAATGTTTTCCAGCTTGCTTCACACAAGTTTCTTAAGTGGATTGCCACCAGTACCTGTATTTCCTGAAATATTTAAATAAACAACATTAAAATCAGTTTGTGGTTATTAGATATTTGCACAACAACCAATGTTTCTAATATATGAACCATGCAGAATGATGGGCAGCAGGCTGAGCACAGGTTCATCCAAATGCCTGGTAAACAGAATATTTAAAGCATGCGTTATAGTAGCCGTAAATAAAAAATCTGAATGTCACCCACTTCCAAAAGTCATTAGCAGTGCCTAAAATATCCAGGGCTGATTTTGGTGTATCTGATACTGAATATGACTCAGTTATTTTTAGATGTTGCTTCAGAAAGCAGCAGAGGCAACAGTGCCATGGTTTTCACAGTGCTCAGATTTGGCAAATACACAGAATTCATAGTTGAGTTTCTGGAGCTCTGCACTGAAGCCTCCAAGCTGCCCAGACTCTTCAGGTTACTCAGTGCCAATGTGAGGAGCCAGTGACAGCTAAGAAATCTGTTTTCCCCTGGCCCAGTAGTTTGCTGGATGCTAGGTTTAGGTAAACAAATGGAGGAATTTAAGTGTTAAAGAAAAAAACAAAAACAAAAATAAAGGTAATGACCTAACAATTAATTTTCACCACCTTATCAGATAATTAGAAGCTTTTCAGATGAATGGCCTTGTGGTTTCAGTGTTATGCGCAGTGCAATCTTAGATGGTAAAATAGGGCCCAGTTCCAGTGGTCTAGCTCTGTTTCTCCTTCCATTAACTTTCAAATTATGTTAGCTGACTTGAACTTATCACTCTACTCTTTTATTAGAAACAACTGAAAACGGAGGAGGGTGGGGGGGATGGGGTAACTGGGTGATGGGCAATAAGGAGGGCACGTGTTGTGAAGAGCACTGGGTGTTACATGCAACTGATGAATCATTGAACACTATACCAAAAACTAATGATGTACTATATGCTGGCTAATTGAATTTAAATTAAAAAAAATGATTGAAATGGAATCCCTTGAACAAATTTGGGGAGAAAATAAAATTTAGCAAAACAGCTCTCTCCCATGTAATTAACCAAAGTCTGCTCCATTCATTCATTACTTTCCATTCTGTCTAGATTAAGAGAATCCAAGAATCTGGAACAGGATTGAGAGATGTAAAAAGATAAAAGCATGTTTCTTCCTATCCTGATCTGCCCTGAAAACCTCCATAGCCCATCATCCACTTTAAAAAAGGATAGAAAAAGACCACCGAAGTGAGAGGGACTCATAACAGAGAGCATTGAGAGAATAAAATGGAGAAGTTATTTATAGCTGCTCATAGATGATTAAAATTGTAAAAGCAAGAATCCACTCTACTTGGGTGTTCTGATCTGAAATGATAGCATGATTTTTCTAAAAACGCCTGTGTGTGACCTTGAAATTTTTCTGAAAAGAGAACAGAAATGAGGAATGCTCTTCAGCGATTCAAGTACCGGTAGGCATCATTTTCTCAAATATGGACACTTTGCATCTGTTTCTCACACTGGAAGGACGCCCTGCTGCGACTCATTCGTCCTTCTGCCTTTTCATTACAAGTCCCAAAGCAAGTGGCCATGTGCTTTCCTGGCCTGAGTCAGGTCCAAGTAGCCGGAAGGGGAAAGAGGCAAGCAAGTGAATCAAAAGAGCGCTGGGGAAGGCTTCCCCCTGACTCGGCCTCAGCCCTCCTGTGGCTCCCAGCCTGCTGGAGTTTTCACTGCAGGCGTCACCATGGGAAGGAGGTTGAGGCAGGTTGAAGGAGAGGATGTAGGCCTAGAACCTGAAGGTGAAACTATGGATGCATTTTTTTTTTCCCATAGAAACACCGTTACTTATGTTGGGTTCTGTCGTGCAGAGTCCCATGCCTCGGGCTTGTGATGAGTTAAAGAGGTTTTCATGGACGGGCCTAATGTCTAGATACTAAGAAGTGCGCTCTGAGAAACAGTAGTTCCAGCAGGCCATTAGCAAAACAAAACTCAATGATAGTGATGTGTGATCAAATAGAGCTTGGAAAACACTTGATTCTGTACCTCTGCTCTTTAATATTTACAATGCATATTAGCATATAAAAGGCTCCATGAAATCCTAAGATTAAATGAAGGAATCTGTTGACATTGCTTTTCCAGACCTTATGTAAACAAAGACCTCTTTTTCTCCCATGAAATCCCTTAACAGGTTAGAAAACATGCCCTGCAGCAGAGGTCCCCGAATATTTTCCATCAAAGGCCTGACAGTCAATACTTTAGGCTTTGTGGTAGGTTTGTCAGATAAAATACGGACACTCAGTTAAATTCGAATTTCAGATAAACAATAATTTTTAATAAAAGCATGTCCTCAACATGTCTGCAAAAGAATTAGTTGTATTGGCTATGTCTGTTTGTATTCGCTAAATCTAGAACCCCACTTTGTGGGCAACGACTGGCCATGACTCAGCCCTGCTGTTGGGCAAAAGTCGCCACAGACAAGGCATGAAGAACAGGTGTGGCCAGGTTCCAATACGACTTTATTTACGGACATGGAAATTTGAATTTCATATAATGTTCATATGTCAGGAAATATCTTTCTTTTGGTATATTTTTTCAACCACATAAGAATGTGAAAGCCATCCTTAACTTGCAGGCTATGTAAAAACAGGCAGGAGACTGACTTTGGCTTGTGGGGTGTAGTTTGCGATGCTGTACATGCTTTCTGAACGACCAGGATTTAGACAAGTGGTTCCTTGTGGTACAACCAACTGGGAAATGTGGGCGGGCAAGTGTCCATCGCTGCCTCGGGACGGATTCATCATCCCTGCTAGAGAACTGAGTTTTGAGCTCTACTGATGAGCCGCCCCTGTTTCAGACTCATCTCCTTCAAGAGAAATCAGCAGAAATTGTCCCTTTCGTGGCGGGGGAGAGGGGAGGCTGGCTCGGGAGTCTCTGGACACAACTGGTACTTGCAGACCGCAGGCCCCCCGGTCTATCAAAACATACCAGCCTACCAACCTAATGCACAGTTGTAGACTAAAGGCCTAGACTGACGTTTTAACTATTTTTTTTAAATTCAAAGGAATGAAGTAGAAACACTCATTTAACAGGTAAAAAGTTAAAAATAATAATAACAAAAACTCGGGGCGCCTGGGTGGCTCAGTCGGTTAAGCGACTGCCTTCGGCTCAGGTCATGATCCCAGGGTCCTAGGATCGAGCCCCGCATCGGGCTCCCTGCTCTGCGGGAAGCCTGCTTCTCCCTCTCCCACTCCCCCTGCTTGTGTTCCCTCTCTCGCTGTCTCTCTCTCTGTCAAATAAATAAATAAAATCTTTAAAAAAAATAATAATAATAACAAAAACTCACGTAAAGCAGGAGCGAGGCCTGCCCTTGAAATCATGGCATCGTATTTGCACCCAGAGACTTTGGGAGGAAGACGATCGAGAGTCAGTTCTCCCACTGTTGGTTTGACCTCAAACCATTCTAGAAAATATGAGTACAGAAGCTCGTCGTTAGAAATTCACTATGGCCATTGCCAAAATGAGACACCACAATTTACAAAGTAGGCAAATTCTTTAGACGTTTCTTTAATCATATTCCTAAGAGTGGTGTTGGTGGGAGGTTATTAACCCTCTCCTCACATTGTTCACACCTCTGATGTACAAAATAGTTGCTTTAAAAAGTCACTTTAAAGACAACATCTTTATGTTCCTATTAGTTTTTTAATAAGTTCTTATTTAATAGTAATATGTATACAGAAAAGTGAACAAATCGTGTGTTTACAGGCTGATGAATCTTTGGAATGAATACACCTGGGGTGTATTATTAGTATCCCCAAATCCCCTGCCTATCTCTCCCATACAGTACCCTAAAAAGAAAACACTGTACTGACTTCTGTCATAAAAGGTTAGATGATTTTTTTTGTATTTCATGTGGGTTTTTTTAATATTTCATATAAATCATACAGGATTTATTTCATTTTTCAAACATGTTTATACTACAAAAATAGTGACTTAAAATTACTTCCACATTTCCCATATTTCTCATTAAATCTATAAACTATCACACTTGGGCATTAATTTCCCTGTGCTTCTAAAGATCACTTACCCCTCCTCTGCAGCTCTCAGCCTTCACTGAGACTTGAAGAAGAGTCTAAGGTAATTTCTACTCATCAATCAGACCTTGTTAATGCTATATACAGCTCTGGTCAATAACATTCTCAGAACTATAATTATCACAGTTAATTACTTTGGTGAGCTTACAATCAACAGTCTCAAAAATCAAGACTGGTAAGAATTGAATACTGTTCAGGAATTTGAAGGGTTGAGGTGATCCATGGCTAAAGAGAAATTGTGGTCAAAGGAAGACAAGAGAGATAGAGGTTTAGCTTTGCACCAAGATGGACTTTTAAATAGAAGATTAAATAGAATAGTTGTGTTTTGTTCTAGAAATCCCAACTAGAGCCAATGAGAAGCAGAAATGGTGAGATCAACTAAATGTAAGCAAATGTTAGGTATAAAAAATAATTGTATCTGATTTGTGGTATTAAAAAAATAACTTGACAGAACTAATATGCTGAAATGTAGGGGGCTGGGCAGGAGTTGTCATTGTCATAGTGTTTTAGGGTCCTTATAGTTGGAGAAAGAAAGTAAAGATATTAATTTTACATTAGGATACATATACATGTTAAAATTTCTAGGGTAGCACTAGAAAGAGTAGAAATTTTAAATTTTCCAAATTAATAGGGGTGAGGGGGAAGACTTTAAAAAAGATTCAATCCGAAAGAAATATAGGTGAGATAAAAACAAGAAACAGAAACAGAAAAAAAGCCCACAAAATAATATGATAGATGTGAATGCAAATATAATAGGAGGCAGTACTACTGAATTCATAACAATTAAAATCACAGTGAATGAAATAACAAAGGTCCATGCAACAGGATATTTCTAAGAAGTGCAGGACTTGCTTTACCAAGTATCAGCGCTTACTATAACGCACTAGTAACTAAGACAGTGTGGGTGTTGAGGTTGCACACAGGTAGACAAAATCAGCTAAAGCTGGGAAACAGACCCATATATATAAAGAAACTGGAAACGTTTGAGACAGGAGGGTATTACAAATCGGTGAGAAAAGAATAAATTTTGTTCAGAAAATGGTCTGAGACAGTTGGTTCTCCATTTCAGTTGCAGACGAATTAAGATCTTAAAAATTTTGAGACTAACCCCTTACCAGATCTATGCTTTGCAAACCTTTTTTTTTTCTCCCATTTTATAGGTTACCTTTCCACTCTTGTTTCCTTTTTTATGTGGAAGGCTTTTAGTTTGATACAATCGCACACATTTGTTTTTGCTTTTGTTACCTGCGCTTTTGATGTCATTTCCAAAAAATCACTGCCAATGCCAATGTCAAGAAATTTTTTTCCTATGCCCTCTTCTAGTAGTTTTATGGTTTATTAAACATAAGACCTATTCTGGTCTTATGTTTGGTTGTGAGATAAAGGTCCAAACTCATTCTTCTGCAAGTGAATATTCAATTTTCTCAACATGATTTATTGAGGAGACTATCTTTTCCCCATTGTGTGTTCTTGGCATCCTTATTGAAGATCAAGTGTCTGTAAATGCATGGATTTATTTTTGGACTTGCAATTCTGTTTCATTGGTCTATATGTCTGTTTTCATGCCAGTACCTTACTATTTTAATTACTATAGCTTTGTATTTAGCTTGAAATCAGGAAGTGTGATGTCTCCAGCTTTGTTCTTCTTTCTCAGGATTGCTTTGGCTTTTCGGGTTCTTTTGTGGTTCCATATGAATTCAGGATTGTTTTTTTCTATTTCTATAAAAACTACCATTGAAATTTTGCAAGCTTGCATTGAATCTATAGATCAATTGGGTAGTATAGACATTTTAACAATATTAATTCTTCTAATTCATGAACATAGGATGTCTTTCCATTTATCTGTCTTCTTTTATTTCCTTCATCAATGTTTTATAATTTACAATGTGTAAAGGAGTCATATCCAAAACATATAAGGAACTCATACAATTCAATAGCAAACAAAACAAATAACCCAACTAAAAACTGGGCAAAGGACCAGAGTAGACATTTCTCCAAATAAGAAATATAGGAGCACCTGCCTGGCTTGGTTGATGGAGTGTGTGACTCTTGATCTTGGGCTTGTGAGTTTGAGCCCCATGTTGGATGTAGATATTACTTAAAAATGCAAGCTGGTGCAACCACTCTGGAAAACAGTATGGAGGTTCCTCAAA